GAGCCGTTTTAGGGACCTTCTAGGGGTACCTTCCCCATTGTTTCCAGGCATCCTTTTTTCTAAAAAACACCAAACACCCAGGGCAAACAGCTGGTTTGTGAAAAGAACAATGGTCGAAAAGAATGGACAAGGAATCAACCCCTAGAGACCTCTATTTTGAGAACCCCCGATTTGAGCAACTGGCGCGCTGGGGCTCAGGTTTCGCCATTCGGGCGCAAGATTCGAAAGAATTCTGAAGCCAACTGGGGACTTTGACCAACAAGACATCCTGGCAAACATACAAGTGTGCGCGCGTTATTTGTTTGGCGATTTGGGGAGGTCCTCAAACAGTTCACCTTTTAGTGTGAGCTGCGGATTAGTCATGACCATTTTTACTCTGAATCCGGGGAAAAAAAGCACAAAAAACATGGAAGCTCCTCCAGACCAATCCAAAGTTGACGGAGTTCTCTGAACTGCGACGATCATTCGGCTGAAAGACCCCGGTCCGATGCCATCCATGCCGTGTCCTGCATTTGGTTTTTGGCTTGCCATCCCTTTGGTTCCCTCAGGCCTAGCTTTGGGTGTGGGGATTTTTCTGATTTTTCATGTACCCCACTAAAACTGATTCACTTTTAGGGGATCTGAAAACGGGCCCAGTGTTGGTTGAGCGCCAGGGCGGGGAACCAAATTGGAAGTTTCTCTCGAGCCGGTCACTAGAGGCGATGGATCCAATGGGCTTGTGGGTTTTCGAAGCTACGAATCTTGAATCTTGAAACAGGGAAGAAACTGGCGAGAGAGAGCTGCAGATGCCTGATTTTCGGTTGCTCAGAGGTTCAAAATCGGACCAGACCCGCAAGTTGGTTTGGCTCAAGTGGTCTGTAAAAAAGTAAGCCACCAGACGAAATGCAACCCCGGAGGCCCCTTCAAGCGACTGGTTCGCATTCACCTCATTGATTTTGAGTAACACATCGTTGGTGTTAATTTGGCTTGGGATCTGAAGAAAGACTGTGGTTCTTGGGAAACGGTTTATTCAGGGAACCTTCAAACCTTCCGTGTTACAAATGAAACCTCAATCAAAAGAGCAAGAACAGGGTCTCTTAAACACAATGGTTTCCTTTCATGTTTATTTCAGTTCTCCTTTTAGTTTCCCGAAAGTTTTGGTTTTCCTAAGGGCACCCTATTTACATTGAACACCCGGCGTACATCTTTTTAACGAGGAGCGGAGTTTCTGGTGGACGTGCCTCTGCTGGGGAAGGATGCGGACGATGTGGAGTGGTGGCTCGGCTCAAGGGTCGCCTCCAACGTTGGGGGGGGCCATCATTTGGGTGTGGCTCAAAATTAAAGAGGGGCAAACCGCAGGTTTTGGTTTCCATGTTTCCACTTACCAGGGCAAGCCATTTTGGTACCGGTTTGTTGAGCCCCCGCCATTTCTTCAGGTAACCCTTAGTTGGTGATTTGGATTGGTGGTTTGGGGAGTTGTGGTGACTTAGTCTTCATTAGTTTTTCATTTGCTTACGAGTTTGTTTTTGTGATTCTCCCTGGTTGGTTTTGAAGGGAATCTATTAAATGGAATTGGTGTCCTTGGAACCTGTTCCAGAAAGCCATGGGTGGTCATCAAGCCATCTGGTTTTGAGACACCAACTTGATTTGGATGGTGGTTTGGGGATTTGAATTCCTTTCTTTTTTAATTGGATGGTGAATGGGAACCCCTCCTTAAGCTCCAAACCACCAATCCGAGCCACCAAGTAGTGGGAAGCTGCTTTCCACTTTTGAGGCACTTCCGACGATTAAAAGTTCATAGCCATCTAACCAAATTGATCTACACTGTACCTGGACCAACTGTGCTGCTTACACCCTTGAGCCGAACCTTTGTGCAAAGAACTCCCTTCCATGCGGCGGATTCTAACGAAACATGTTTCGTCAATCAGACGCTGCTGGAACTTCCAATGGAACATCCAGACTCTGCATTGGACCACCGAGAGACACTTGGCTGTTTGAGGGCCCCAAATCAATCGGGAGCGTCTGGGCAGTGAACCAATACACACAAAATCAGGCCATAGTCCGGGGTTTGGGACACGGGACCTGTGGATGAGCTGAACGTTTATGAGACAACTACACCTCCATGTGAATTGTGTGTTGAACAATCACTTGATTTGACCAGCCGACCATACATTCAAATGCTAATAAATGACCGAAACCGGAGACGAGGGGGCTGACCTAATCGACCTGTTGTTTTGTCAGGGGTTGACATCATACCCTCGAAGAAGCGTCTTCTCCACTCAGTGTACATCTGTGCGGCTTGGCTCCCCTTATGAACATCTAGGTCCGCCCTTTTACCTTTTTTTTGAGGGAGGGTTCCCCTGCTAAAATAGACTACAGAAAAGGGTACCCTTATTCTAACCTCTCTACTGGAGGACATGGAAGGTTTTGCCATGTTTTGTCAAACCTGCGCATCTTACCTCCCTAATATGAAGCCCAAACACCATCATTTCAGGAGATTCCATGGGGAAAACCAGCCCCCTTGGGTTCCTTCACTTGACTGTTCTTGGCAAGTTTATTGCTTCTAGTTTTTGATATTTGTTGGTCCTGTTCATTTGTAGTAGACACGCTGTTTTTGCCATCCCAACTGTTGTGAAGTGTTCCATTCTCCGCCCGCTTTCCCGCCCCGACGGATCGACCCAACCAAGCCGACGGATCCAGCCGGCGGATCCGGTTTCTGGAAGGTACTTCACCCCGGACGACCTCATCGTCCAGTTCCGCGCCGAGCGCCGCCAGGGCCCGGACTTTGGGCAGAACCGCCGGCGCCTCGAGGCCCGGAGCGAGCGGGGGAGTCGGGAGCGGGGGAGTCGCGGAGCGAGCGCCGGCCGCCGGCGCGAAGCGCGGGGGGTGAAAACAACGAGTGGGTGGCAACGTTCTGGGGGACTTCTTTCCAGGGATCCGAATCTGCTCAGAAAGCCATCAGAACCCCAGGGGAAACAGCTGGCTTTTCAAAGAAAATGGTTGAACATGGGAAATAAACCCCTAGAAACGTGGTCTTTTTCCGTTTGGGGGCGTCGTCTTTTTGGAGTGGGTTTCCCTGTGTTTGTAGTGGGAGGTTAATACCAGAAACAAAAAACCACGGGTATGTCGATTTTGGGAGTTGGTACCCTTTGTTCTTGTGGTACACTGAAACCAAAAGGAGAAGCGCCACTTTTATGTTGGTGGGAATTTGGGTTGTGGGGTTTCGATTCCACGACAAGGCAACAACCCCAATCATGGTGAACCCACGCAAAATGGTCAACCCCACTAGTGAAAGCCCTGACAAGGAACTGAGAACGGTTGAATATATGCTTGGTGGCTCCCAGCCATCCGGTTTCTTAACTTTTTAGCCTAGTGTTTCGTGGAAGTTTCCATTTAACCCACTAAAAGTTATTCACTTTGAGCGGGGGATCTGAAAACGGGCAGCCCCAGTTATGTGCACCAACCCCCAGGTTTGCGACCCTGTTCCATGCCTTGCATGCCTTGTGGCTTGCATCAGCCCCAATGAGGCCCAGCAGGAGTTCACATGACGTCTATACATTTCTTTAAAAAAAAAATCGACTCTTGACTTTCGGGCCATCTGGTAACGGAAGGAGCCAACAGCAACCAAGTTGCTACAAACTTGCTTCAGTCGGTCATTTCAAAAGGGTTCTGAGCACGAATCCAGGGATCTCCTAAGAACACCAGGGATGGTTTGCATGCGGGTCATTCATCCCTTCATTCACTGGGAACAAGCAAGTTGACAACCCCCCAGTTATGATCAGGGGGTTCCCAGGAAGAAAGGAATGACCCTTGAAGACGCGAGGGGTCACTATTCGACGGCCGACATTGTGATTTATGGTGTTGGTAGCTGTTGGTAGTCAGTGGCGATGTTAAGCATTTTTGTTGGTGGCTTTCCCTGTTTGTGTGTGTGTGTGCTTTTGTGTTGTTAGGTGCGATGTGTGTGCTGGTTTCGGCAGTCGATGTCAGGGTTGTGTTTTGTTGCTACTAACAGTGCCCGCTGAATTGATAGTTGTTGGCGTGTGTGGGTAGATTGTTGGTTGTTGTGTTTATCTAGTGTGGGTGTGGGCAGTCTGTTGGTGGTCGCCTTCCTTGTTGGTGCTTGTTAGTGTCGCGGGTTGTCATTATTACTCAAGGTGCTGGGTAGTGGTTTGGCAACTGTTGCAATGTGTGGTGCTTGAAGGTGGTACTGTGGATGGACGAAATCCTGCACCAGATTGAAGCCATGGTTGAAACCGCTGTCTGTTGGTGTTTACAGGGGAATCATCAGAAACCAGGCTTTCTGAAGGTGGTGCGAACGGAGTTCGTCCATCCACAGTATGTGTTACTAGTTGTCACATGTGTTGTGAATACTCGTTCGTGTTGTGTTAGTTGGGTCACGAGTCTGGGTGTTGGGAATGAACCAGAAGGAGATCTCCGAAAAAAAGAAGAAGAAAAAACGACGGGGCATTCCGACTCATTCCTTGCTGAGCACCAGCAGCTTTTGTTTACAGTGGATGAAAAATATCCAGCAGACAATTCCAATTTTGGGGTTTGAGTTGCCATGGTTTTCATTTGGGTGGCCTTCATGGCGGTTGGTAGCTTGCCCGCTCGCGAGCGGGTGGCCAGCTCGCCGGTGTGCTTTGCTTCTACGTTCTGATGTTCTTGGTTTTTAGGTGTGCACGGTTGCGTGAGCCTGTCAGTGTGTGTTTGTGGTTCGTTGGTGGTTGGCAGTTGTTGGTACGGATAGTTTGGGTGGCTGTTGGTGCTCCTTCATAGCTCATTGTGTGGTGTGCCAATGGTCATTGTTTTGTAGTACGTGGCAAACAGTTGCCGAGAATACCAGGAATTCCTTGAACTTGGAATATCCAGGATACCACAAGAGGTAGCCTCCAAAAAACTCAGGCCCTGATACTTGGGGACCTGCAGGGCTCCGATTTGTATTATTCATTATGTGTAGTCATTTTTAGTCGCCCTAACAATCAGAACCGGCCGCTTTGCGAGAGTCAAACCAGGATCAAAACAAAAAAGGTCACTCGCTGGGTCCTGCTCTCAACAACGAAATGGGTCTTTTGGTGTAAGACGCCAAGAATCCAACAGGACCCAGACTCCTGACGCTTTTCTGTCCGCAGCTTGGGCTCAAGGGGCCCCCCTTGGGGCCCCGAAGCGATGCATCCGGAGAAGCGCAAGCGCCTGGAAGCCCGGCTCCGGGCCGCTCGGAGCCAAGCGAAATCCGGCGACGAGTCCAGGGGAGGTCGTTGTTGGAGTTGGTACCAGGTCCCCCAGCAATTGGTGCCCGTCTTAACCCGTTTCTTTGTTGGTTGGGAAGGTTTTTCCTACTAAAATAGACTACAGAAAAAGTTGACACCCTTATTCTGACCGCTCTACTGGAGGACCTAGGGTAGGGCTTCGGCAATTGGAGTACCTTCTATTTCCGTATCTTCTACTTGCTTTCAGCAGTTGTTTGAACGTTCCCTTGTTGGTTTTCCTATCACCTCTGGATATTTGCCCAGTGGACATGGTCCAGTGCATCCATTCCGTGAAGCTGTTATGGTGGATACCCCTTCGCTGTCCTGTTGGTTTTTGTGGTCGGCGCTTCCATTGATTGCCTCCTACCCAGACCGCCCAGACGCTCCTGGCTTTGGCTTCCAATGGAAGATCCAGACCCTCCATTGGACATTTCGGAGGGGGTTTGGTGTCTCAAAACTTCGCTGTTTGAGGGCCCAATATCAATCAGGAGCGTCTGGGTATACAGGTTTTCTTTATCCACTGGGTGTGGCCTCGCCAACTCCCCAGAAGTGGCTGGGTCTTTGGGTTTCCGTTGGGGGGGGCAGGAGCTCACTGATTTAAAGGGGTGAGGCGAGCGAGGAATCCTAAGGGCCCTCACTTGGGGATCCCATATATCGGGTTTGTGAATTTGAGGAAGTTGCGAAGATCTGTTCATAGAAAGACAAGAATTCAGAATTGCGCCTTTGGCTTTTAGATAAATCACATGCCGAAGGGGGAACATGTGAGAAACTTCTTGTTCCCTTGGTGCTTGCTGTCCACTGAGAGAGACCACCATGCATGGCGGGGCAAAGCGGTGATATTGTGGTGCTCCTGCCACCTGACGAGTCCCCACCGATGTTCAAGGGCGCTACAGGGTTCCTTCACATATACAAGCAACCACCTGGTTTACAAGGGAATTTTCTTAGTCAGCTGGTGAAGGTGATTGAATCTGAATCAACTGGCTCAAATGCATCCTTTAAGGGACCCTGTCAGATACCCTGGATTGAGATTTGTGGTAAGGGCCTACCTTCCCCGTTCTTCAGGAATCCTTCTTGGAAAACGGTCCAAACACCATGGAGACTGGGTGGATTCTGAAGAGCATGGCGAGCGAATGGAGAATCAACCCGTAAACTGATAGGAACCAATCTTCACCTTACTTTCAGCAACCAGTCAGCTTGGGCGGTGCTCATTCCGTGTGTGGAGGAATCGTTGGGCTTTTCATCTTCTGTTTCGGCTGGGGCACGCCCCAAGCCTCTGGACATTGGGGGGGGGCCCAAAAGCTGTACCGACGCCCCAATGCAAGCAATACCCCTCACCGAAGCCCGGGAATCGGCTCTTTTGGTTGAATGGAGTCGGGTCGCTTGCTTTTTAATGATTAATCCACCATGTTACCCTGCGCTTCGGGTTTGGCTTAAATGGCAACTGGGTTTCCAGCACAAATGGCCGTGGGGCAGGTCCCGGGCGCCGGATGGGACATTGTCAAATCGAGCTGCAACCCCAAACAGGCAATCAAAACCAACCAGACAGGCAGACAGACAACAACAAACAATCAACGGAACAAGCAATCGAACGAACAAACATGAAAAAAAGACAACAAGGAAACAAAAAGGAACAGCAAGCAAGTCATGTTGGTGCCCTTTAGAACTGTCCCACAATGCTTCCCTTGTCCAACCCCTGCAGGTGCAATGTGGCCCTTTCAGACTGCCTGATTGGACAAAATGTATCGCTATCCAGGTACAATTCCTGGGGAGGCCAGACTGGGAGGCAAAAGGATCACCCTGCCCCAGCGACCGCACGCATGTCTTGTGGGATCCACAAGCGTGATACAGCACCCTGACTCGTTTGGCACGTCCAAATCCGGGGAGACTGAGCCCGTTGAGAGCTTCGGGGTATCACTGCATTCACCTACCGTTTAGCACGCGATTTGAAGGTACGTGGAACTGTGTGTCATGGTGGCGCGCCTGCTCTTGGCCATCACCTTCCCCAAGTCTTAGGTATGATGCGCCGGTATCAAAAAGGGATCTGGCTTCCCCCTTGCCCTCCCGCAAGCCCTCACAAAGGTCTCAGGGTAAGGAGCCAGGTTTGGGCTACTTTGATCATAAGGCATGCGATTTGAAGCATTTTATTGGGCGAGGGGTGGCTTGGGTGAAGAGAGAACCTTTTCGTGGGAGGTCTGGTGATCATGCACCCCCACCCTTTGGTCCCCCCGCCCTGTTGAGTGTGAACCATGAAACCTCGAGATTTCCTGTCTCCGGTCTGCGCGCCAAGGATGAGGGATACTCATGCGGAACCTTCTGGCAGGAATTGCCGTACACCATGTGGAACACCTGCCCTCTGTGCGTTTGCGGCCTGATGCCGGTCTTCGTGGTTTGCTTCTCCGCTGTGTGCCGACTGGACTATGCCACGCATGTCACCGACATCGGAGCGGAGCTTCTTGATTGCAGAAGGTCCTAGGCGCCTAGACGGATTCCACATCCATCCTTTGATACACATTCCCGTAGTTTCCCTTGGGTTGCAAAATGAGAATCCAGTACCAGGAGATCCTGTCCAGTTCCAGGTAGGGGATGCCAAAAGCTCCAGTTGTCGAACGGGTAACGTTCTTTGTTCTACCCCAAAAGGCGCACATGTCTGCCAAGTTTCAGTTTTGGCATCCCCTCAAAGTTCCTCCAATGAAGCTGAGGGATTCTGGGGTGAACGGAACCGTCAACAAAGAATCCTGTGTATGTGTGTCCAAAAAATAACTAAGCCTTTTAGGTTGCCAAGAGAATCACGACAATTTATTGGAGTGTCCGGGTGCCGGTACTGTGGGAATCTCCCATGTTGTTCTATTCGCACCGCTGTCGTGAAATCTCGTCACGTGATATATGGGGGAGTCGGGGGGAAAGCCCGGCCGTGGTCGCGAGATTTGGCGGCCAGAAAGGATATGAACGCCCGACAAGATTTTCACCAGAAACCAAAACGGGCCCACCCGAAACAAGTTCCCCTATAAGCTCACATGATAAAAGAAGCGCAACACAGTGAACTAAAGCCACATGGAAGTGGACGCACTGTTTATATATATATATATATATATATTTAATATATGTCATGTCTCTATTTGATACTTGATATATTATATGTAGCTGTATCCAAGATCAGTGTTATCTATATATATTTATACATCCACAGCACATGAATATATATATATATATATACATATGTATACATAGGTTGTATGTGTGACTTGCTGATTATGCGGTAGTGCACACACCCACACGCACAAATACAAGCACACAGAACACATGCGAGCTCCATTTGTTCATGCACACTCACACGAAGAAATGCCTGCTCCGCAAGTTTGGCCATGCTCTGCTAGGTAAACTCGTTCGTGTCGAATGGAAAAGGCGTTACGATGATTTCCCTGAATCAACACAGCCCGGTTTGATTGGTAGCCGGTGTCGGTTTTCTCGCTTTTTGTGGACACACTCTCCGATTTATCCTTTGGGCTGATTAATCCAGGATCGACGCTAGGGCAAACAGAACGCCATGCGTTGTTGTTGGTTTCTGACTCCGGAGACCCTTTGAAGTCCGGAATGCTGATGGTCAGTTCGAAATACCTTTTTGTAACTGGCAAGGGTTTCCTTATGTTTGACGAATGTTGGCCTTAGTGAGCCTTGTTCGGCCTTCTTTGGCCTTGTGTCGGATCAGGCTTATCAAGCGGACACCATTGTCTGTCCCCTGGTTGGGGGGGGTCGGATGCTTGTGTGTTTGCAATGCAAGATATACCATTCGGACATAAGTGAGCGGACCTCTCAAGCTTCAGCTACCTTGTGCTGTTTGTCTTCCCTGTCGTTGTCCCAAAGAGTAAACATTCTTATACATAAATCTCAAAGGCGTCGGCCAGACACATGAAGTGCTGGGAATTCACAGAAATGTGGAGCATGAAGGGTTGCTTTGGTAGGCAGGGTCTGGTAAGAAAACGAAAGAACTACTAGTTTGGGCGTGCTAGTTTGGAAGAGTTGGAAACCGCCTCAACCCCGAGTGACACCAGATAGCCAGTATAGCTGGCAACCACTGGAAGCGGTTTTGTCAAGTTGTAAAGAGCCTGAGGTTTGCTGAGAGATAAAATGCGGAGAGTCTGGAAAACGTGTAGCTGAGAGTGTGAGAAACTTGTAGCTGAGAGTGTGAAAAAACTTGTAGCTGAGAGTGTGGAAGCTTGTAGCTGAGAGACAAAATAATCCACCCCAAAAGGATATACCCTCAAACAAACAAAAACGCACAGGGACACACACACACACACACATGGGACAAACAAAAAAAAAACAGGATCATCAACGAGATGGGTCTCTCCTACACGGTGTACTACACAGCGGGCTGTTGGCCTCAAAGAGGGCCGCAGGCGCGAGTTCGGCGCGGTGCGTTGGGTTTGTTGACGCTGCTCGTGAGTTGGTGTGAAAGGTTGTCGTGGCCGCCTTTTGTAGACTCAGCCATGTGGCGAAACTCTCTCTTTCGCCTGCGTTTTGGTTCCTTTTCAGGCCGCGGGCGTCGAGGTCTCGGTTAGCCTGCGACGTCGCAGGCTCTGAACCGGCCGTCCACCCACTGCAACAGCGAAGACTTCGAAATCGCCGCCTCCGAGTTCGACGCCTTGACGGGGAGCCTGCTGCGGGTGCGGAACGTCACAGCCGTGCACGCGAAGCGCCTCACCGCCGTCAAGGCGACTTCTTCGCTTTTTTTGGGGGGGGAGAGAGGGCGCCCAAGAGGTGGGATTGGGGGGGGGGTGGGGCGGGGTGAATGAATGTGTTCTCTTGAGTGGCCCTGTTCCTAGAGAAAAGTAGTCTTTGAAAAGGAATCTGTTGTATTGCATCCTTTAACTGGACTCGTTGTTGCAAACCCAAACCCTCGCCTTATTTCTATCTGAATCTGAGTGCCAACCCAGCTCCAAATTTCAAGTCTGGGGGGGGCGCACCAATCCGATCCAGCGAGGGCAGCTAGTAAGTTTCTCCTGATAACTGCACCATTTGCTTCATTAACTTTATCTATATCATATCTTTTATTGTTGGACTCTCTTTACACCCCCCCCCTCAGGAGTCGAACCAGTCAGCTGGACCCTGTTTAGAGAAAGTCTTGGGGGTCTGGGAGGGACAGTACTTGCTTTAGTATTGCCAATTCAATTAGTATAGCCCAGGCTGACTCTCAGATTCCCGGTACTTACTTTAGTATTGCCAGTCCTACTTGAGTATTGCCAAGGCCCTTTTTCTTCAGCAACCCCCAAAAAGGTGGGACGCTAAAGAGGACCCCAAAACAGTCACAATAAAGAGGATCAGGGCCCCTTGTGGGCAACCCTTTTTGCGCGAATGTTTGCCCTGACTTTTGTGTAAATAAGTTATTTTAAAATTGATGGTTTGGGGACCACTGCAAAAAGGATTTTCTAATGTTTGCCCGGATTTGTTTGCCCAGTTGTTGTTCGACTTTTTTGGGCCAGTGGTTGGTTGCCGAGATTTTTCCCGCGGCATTTTTCCGGCAAACGAAATTGCCACAATTGAGGCCCCCAAAACAGTCACAAGATCCTGAATTGAGCAAAACATGCCACAACAGCGGATACTGGGCGTCTAACATTATTGACTTGTCTCTGACTGTCCATCTATTTCTAATGTAGCCGTTTCGCGCCAAATCTGCCTATGAATGTATATAATTTAGTCGAATTCGCGCAGGTCACGCCGGACTGGCGATTCGTGACCTTCATCGGGGCCCTGTCACAGGACTCAAGCGGAATCGGCCGGCCCAAGGCGAGTAAGCTAGACATCTTTAGCTCAGTCCAAAGCGAATCGACCTTTTGACCTTCTGGTTCCCTTATTTTGGTCCATTTTCTGTGCAGGTCCCAAACGGTTGCCTATCCTGGGTCCTTTGAAATCTTCGGGCGACATAGACGTAGGTTCAGATCAATCCGATGTGGGCATGAGTCAGTTCTCGGCAAGAGCACGGACAAAGGCTTGTCCGTTTCGCCAGGGGGATATGTGCGTTAATTGTTTGATAAATATGATACTACGTTATGCTAAATATTTGCACCTTGTTGTGAAACATCCCGTTTCAAATAAATTCAAGGGGAGGCCAACAAGGATGTCATTTTTGGGGTAGCCTAATTTTCATTCACACACATATCGACAACGAAGGCACTCGTTGCCATTTTTGCAAGCGACCTTGAGGTTCCACGAAAATTCCGTTCGACCCTCGAAGATCAGGACCTTTCTGGAGGTCCAAGCGTGGCATTGGGGAGTGAGTGCACAGTGCAGATATCACCAGCTAGGAAACCTGTGCCATGGTCTCAAAGTGGTGCAGGATTTCGTCCATCCACAGTATCACCTGGGGGCAACCTGAGTTTCCGTGGATTCTCAATTGGAGACATCGGAATCCTGTAACGGAAAGGTGAGATATTAACTTGGAGGTGAAGGTAGACCAAGTGCGACCCTCGGGTCGCTCATTTTCGGGAAGTACGTATCAATCGTTTAGTAAACACACGGATGGTTTTGGGAACCTAAGCCGCGAAACCGACGGATTGGGCACCAAGTTTAAAGCCCCCGCATTCACAGACCAGGGTTCCCGGGAAACTGACAACAACAACTTCAATTGGGACACTGATCAGAAGCAACAGTTTGTTTGACCCTTCGCTTCAGGCGACGGATTTTAGAGGCGTTTGGAAGGTTTCGCCGGCAAAACAATCTTTTACAACCACCGCATGCTTTGGGCCCCGTCATTTGCCCAGATCCCAAATGTTGTTCTAAGGTTTGCCCTTTGCTAAAGCAATAGTCGAACAGACCCATATAAATCCGATTTAAGGTTGAACATTGAATGCGTAACTAGAGGGAAACCAAGCGGAAGTCATAGGAACTCTTTGAACCCCATGTTCAGGGAGCGACTCTTTAGAAGAACGCACCCCAGCCCATGTTGACATTTGTTTCCGAAAGGGTGCCTTCCAAGTGAGTCGAGTTGCCGACAAGAGAAATCAAGGATATTGCCACCAGAAACCGATAGGGGCTTAGTTAAAACCATGTACCCCCTGCAAATCCGATAGGACATGAACCGCCTAGAAACGGATACCCTGGTATTGTTGTTTGTGCTTGCAGGACCTGCAAAACAATGTTCAGGAGGAAGCATCCCCCTGAACATGCTGGCATGTCCCTGTTTTTTTTGTTTTTTATTATTATTATTATTTTTTTTAAACCTGGGGAACGTTTGTATCACCATTCAAAACGTCACCTTGTGGTACATGTTTACCTTTTGGCCCGATACAAAATGAGGTTTTTCTTGGAGGGGTCAAAAACCGAGTGTTTGGGTTAAAACCCCATTCGACCTATTCACAAATCCGGGTGATTTATGTTTGCGCCCGTAGACCAAGAATCCAAAAACAGCAAGACCGAACTCCTATTCTGAATGAATCCCACGGCAAACCCCAGACCCTAAAACCCAGCAAAATATCCCACCCCTCCACCCAAGACCCCGGGGTCCCGGTTTTTTCAGGACCTCGGGAACTTGTACGCGGTGGACGCGCAGCGGGAGCGCCGGCGGCGCGAAATGTGTGTTTCCAGTGTTGCCTGCTTTCGCCCAGAGATTGCAAGTACATCCTGAGGATGATGGCTGTTGGGGGGTAAAAAAGGGGTCTAAGTACCTCCTTGGAAGGTATTTACTTGGACGCTCTGGGTAGGGTATGGGGATCAAAATTCGGCCACAGGGAATTGGACCGCAGGTTTTAGGCCTTGTTGCCAGTTTCCAGGGCAAGCCATTTTAGTAAGGGGTTACCCCATTTTTGGCCCACACCCGTATATTCGTTGGTATTTACCGGGGTGCCATGGTACGTCTTTTTGAGCCGCAGCCACAATGGAACTCAAAATCCACCCCCCACCCGCTGGATAGATTTCAGCTGGGTGATTTTCCAGGTTGCACTCTTCCTTTGAATATATGAACACTCTTCCTCCACCCTCCCCCCCACTCCGCCCCCCCTCCCTCTTCCACCCCCCTTCCTCCCTCCCCCCTCCTCCACCCCTCCACCCCCCTTCCCCCCGTTCCCCCACACACAAGCGTCGGAGGAGAAAGCGCCGAGCGCCGTGCCGCTACTCAGTCCCCAGCAAATTCAGCACCTTGGCGGTGACTTTTCGGGTTCCTGTTTAACGGGTTGCGAGCGCAGTGTCCTATGTGGGCCTGTGCGTGCGCTTTTGGAGGAGGCTTATTGGAGGGTACCCGTTCTTCGGGTGGTCTAGAGAGAAACCGAAAGGAAAACCATCGTTTGGTGTTGCCCCGCCCCAGCATCCGACACCCAATTTGGGAGTTTGTGCTTGAGCCAGCAGCCGAGCGGGCAATGCCATGGGGCGCAGTGGGGCTAAGAGGCTGTGTTAAGATACTCGCCCAAGGGCAACACGTTTCTGGCTGACCCTTTATTTAAAGCAAACGATAGGTGGTTTCCTGAGTTTTGAGACAGACACAGTTCTCAAGGACGCAAGAACCCAGATTGTTGGAATGTTGGAACATATCTCTATATATATGTATATTAATATATGCACACATATTAGACCACTTTGATGTTACTTGATGTTACCTCTACGTCGTTCCATTTTGTTTCCACTCAGTTATGTATCCAGGAATCCTTACAAAATCCGGTTTTATAGGGGAGGTGGCTTAAACATCACCTTTCCGAGGCTAATTTCCTTGGCAGAACCTCTTAAACTCCACGACACATGGGGGTTGACCAATATTCCGTTCGGCCCCCAAATGACCATGGTAACTTGTCCCATTCACTGGAGAATTTCATCTTGTTCGTAGATTTCCCAATGGTCAGTCATCCCATGGAAAAAATACCTTGTGATCAACACCCACATGACCGACTGCAAAGCATCCTTCATCCTTCACCAATTGTCTTCTCGCATTCATGAGCTGCCACTGTGCAGCTAAGAAGAGAGTCGTAGCATGATACCCAAAGACGATGTTTGGTTTGCTTTCCAAGTGTTTGACAATGCTTTTCTTGGTCCCCAAATTGCCAAAGGACTAGCATTTTGTGCAGAACAAGTCTGCGCCCCTGTCATTCGGAAGGTGCGCGGTGAAACCAGCCAAAAGGCGTTCCTTCCGGCTATTTGCCTAGGCCTTCAAACTTCGTTTTGGGCAACATGATCTTCCACTGAACAGCCAAGTTGTTTTTTTTGCACACGGAGCTTGTGCCATTGAGACGCCTAGTTCCGCTCTTCCCCGAAACTAAGATTTGAGCAGAGGGCTTTGTCAGGCATAAGGTTTTCCGCATGTTCCCCTGGCGAGCTTGATCCTTCTTGGGTCTGGACCAGTTTAGGGCAAACAGTTGGACCTGTTTGGGCCAATCCACTCAAAAACTCACTTCTTGAGCTCATGAACTTGTCACTTTTTGTTTTGGACCATTTTTAGTGGTAGACAGACAAATCAGGCTTTTTGTTGGCCAATCCACTCGATTGCAAGTGAGCAAAGTGAGAGACAGGGGCTTTCCATTTGCTGGATTGAGGAGTTTGGATGCGGCCTGCAGCCTTCACACCCGTGCAGTGCGAGAGGTGCTGCAGGCTGACGGGGGCGGAGATGTTGCGCCCCTTTGTTCGGTTGTTTTTTGATGGGGGGCGGGGCGTCCCTTCACTTCCATGTGTTTTTGTTTGCTTTTTTTCCCCTGTTGGTTTTAAAGGGAATCTATCACTACTGGACATATTTTTACTGTTTCCAGGGATCTTAACCAAATGGAAGTTCAATTTCAGCTACCAAAAGAAGATGTAGGCTCTGCTCACTCCAATTGGGGGGGGGCCTTGAGCAATGTGGCGGAACTACCGAAATAAAGAGCGCCCTTTTTGTCCATGGCGACTGCCAAGGTCTGGGATTGTTTGAGGTGTATGGATGTAGAATCAAGCTGATCCATTGGTCTTTGCCTATGATCTTGATGTAGGGAACCACCTCCAGAGGTGGTTGGGGGACATGAATCCCCACCGAATTTTGATGTCCACTAAATGGTCCCAATCAAAACCGATGGCCACCCACTTCCCTTTTTGGTGGATTTAGTCGCCTTGTGGCGCACTTTAAGCAGGATTTCCTCTTAACGATATTTCTAGGGCGAAACATAGGGGCTCCTACGAATGTGTGAATTTGCATTTAAAGAATCAGACCTCGGATTCCGGATTTAGTTTGAAGCGCTCCCTGCCAGCCTCCAGAGAGTTCTGGAAACTTGTTTGGGATTCACTCAACCCACGTAGATTCAAATGCCATGGGCTAACATCTCACTTCCAACGAGTTTCTGGACTTTCAACTTTTTGGGAAGACCATTTTAGTGGTAGACAACGAGTTCGGACTGTTTTGGCAGTCCACTCAGGACATGAGATATCCAATCATTTTCCTTGACCCCGCCAGGATTTTCCCTGCGTTTTTTTGGTTCAGGAGCGGTCCACAGCCTTTGAGTGGGCATCGCGGGTCCGTTTCAGATCCCAAGTGGAGGCTGATCCCCTCAAAAGAGTGTGAATAGGTTCTATTGGACAATGGTGCCCCAGTAGGTGTGCTTGTTTTGAGGGTACTTCTGAACCTCTTCTTGGGGTTATTCTAAAAGAACAGCAAAATAAACCACAATCTGTTTTAAGACAGACACACCCATGTATCCCCCAACACTGGGTCAGCGTTGAAGTCCTGCCGTTTAGCAACTGAGTTCCCCAATCCCCTTAAAAAGCGTACAGAGCGAGCTTTGCTTGGTGATTGCATGTTCTATGTTTCTCGCAATCGAGTGCACCCACGCCAACAAAGCCAAACTTTGTCGCTCATACAGAGCTAGGAATTTTCATGGGGAACCCCCCTCAAAGTGGTTGGTGGACATAACTCCCCACCTAAATGATAACCACCGAAGGGTCACGAATGAAAGATCACAATTACCTACGGCTGTGGCTCGAACAGTGGTACCCAAAATGGCACCTTAGGATATGGAAGCACAAAACCTGAGTATCCCAGCTGTTTTTCTTTGAGCCGCACCTGTGATGTTTTCCTGTCAAACCAGACCTTGCCCCTCATACACTGTGGATGCCGGTCAAAAAGCTCCGCGCGTTGTGAAATGTAAATCTCAAATTTATTGGGTGTCCATTGCTTTTTCCAAGCGGATGTTTATTCAAATAGGGGACACCCCAAAATGGTGCATTTCCAGTAGAATTTCCCTTCAAAAACCCGAAAAAGGAACCCCTCAAAAAATCACACACCACACACCACAGACACACACACACACAACAGACACACACACAACAGACACACACACACACACACACCACAGGCACGAGGTAGTGCGTTCTGTCAACAAAAACTATGGTCACCTGGACCAATCGAATCGGGAGTCGGGGCCCGGCAGGCGGTAGAGCCGGACAGGACCTTCCTGGAACAGCCGCCGAGCCAAAAATCGCCGTGGGGGGGACGGTCGGGGGCTGCAAACAGGAATCGGTCTCCCAAAATGGGTGGGTTTTATTTTGTTTTTTTTCGTGAAGCACGAATTTAGGGGCCCGCGATTTTGAGACGAAACACTAGACCTGGGTGTTGGAGTACATTTTTGGAGGGACAACTTGTGGGGTCGTGTTAAAGGAAAACAAAAGGACACTCACTTGTTTCAAGGCTTACCCTGGACAAAGCCAACTCACTCCCGTCCGGAACGCCGCAAGGTTCCCCGAATCAGTTTTCCCGAAAACCGTCCGCACGCCTTTCAGTGCACTAGGCCAGTGGAACCTTCGAAAGGCGGGGTTTCACAGCCAACAGACGGGGATTGCCCGCAGTGCATGATGGCGACTCGCTTGTGAACAGTGTTGTTCATGCATGATGATGCTTGGTTGTTTCATTTCTCGTCAAGGTTGACTTCTTGTCTAAAGAGATATCCCACTCTCTGATTGCCCGCACTTGACACGTTTTCGGTCCAGGCCGTTTAAGAAACAAGCCGCTTGGACTTGCTGGGCCGAGTGCACAACTCTGCTAGCCGAGTTGGTTTCCTACGTTTTCATTGTTGGCCAAGGTCCCACAAGGTGAACCTTGCGTTTCAGGTCCTTTTGATTTCCCGCGTTTTCATTTTGGGACCCACCTCAAGGCGACCCGTTTATACCTCAGGTCCTTTGCTTTGGCAGGTTTTGCTTGGCTGAGGCAAGCCAGGCTCAGCGGCTTCAAGCAGTTGCAGGCCGATTCGTTCGATGGAAACCGAGAGGTAGAGGAGAAATCCAATTTTGATCTGTGTCAACTTGGTGGCAAGCCCAGCCATCCCTTTGATTCCTTTATTTTTTGTTAGCTGTTTTAGTGTTTTTGGTGTTTAGCGGTTGGATTTCCATCTAACCCACAAAAAGTTAAACTTTTAGCGGGGTATCTCAGGACGGCCCAGGTTAGAATCTTTTTGTAGCTCGCGACCACCAACCTGTAGCTGTGTTACAAGCGCTATGTTTGCCGTGCTTTGGTAGAGGAAAAGCTGTTCTTGGAAAGCAAAGGTTCGCCACTCCCTGTTGTAGGGGTGATGAAGGTTTCGGCGATGGCGAAAGGGAAGCGAAGGCGAACCAGCGCACCAACAGCATTGTGTGGTGTTTGTTGGTCCAACAGCATCCAAAAGGAGGATGCCAACATTGGTGGGCGGATGCCTGCCTTTCTATGCTTTTGGAACTTTTACCATTGACTTTCAGTGAAATTTAAATGTCTCATCAACCGGGGGGCCCTGGGGGGAGTAAATCTGTTTTTCTTAAGGTAAGACATTGCCTCGTCATCCAATTAGTGACACGCAAAGATAGATTTCCAGTGACGAGATTCCCAGCGTCCCTCTATAGCGAAACCGCAGCCAAGGAATCGGGCGTTTGGGGTGGGGATCAGCGGGGGCAGGAAGACCCTGTCGAGCTTTACGACTTTGCGAGATGACCTAAACTAGGTCCCCCAGTAGTGCCCTTTCTAACCCCTTTTTTGGCGGAGGGTTCCACTACTAGATGACCGAAAAAATGGTACCCTTTTTCTAGCCTCTCTACTGGAGGACCTAGTAAAGGTGTAGGGCTCTTTGGGTGTCCACCGAAGATTTCCTGGACAATTGCAAGGGCTCTCGTGTTTTGCCCAAGCCCAAGACAAGCCAAACTCGAGCAAACCAGACAAGAAAGCCAAAGAATGTCAAACCAAACCAATAATCGAAGCAATTAGATCCAAGCAGACCAGACCCTACCAACCCAAACCAAACCAAACCAAACCAAACCAACCAAGCTCAAATACATCGACCCAGACCAACCAATTAAACCAAATAAATCCAAGCCAACCAAATCCAACAAGGCCAACCATTCCGAACCAAACCAAACTAGATCTATCAGAACCAACCCACTCCAAACCCCAATTAGATCAAAGCAAACCAGGCCAATCCAAACCGGTCCATATTAGATCAAGTCAAACCACACAAACCAAATTCAACCACACCAAGTAGACCAAATCAAATAGTTCAGCCTAAAGCAACCAAACCCAAAACAAACCGAAATAACACCAAACCAGCCGGAACCAAAATTGGCCAAACCATACCTAGCCAAGACGACTCAACCAAACCGAACTAAATGAAATTTGATCAACGCACACCAACCAAAACCACACCCAAATTTGATCAAGCCAACGAGCCCGAACTAGTCAGACCAAAATGAGGTAAGCGCTAAACCAAACCAAACCAGAGACGAGCCAGACCAAAAAACAACCCAAACGAAGCCAGATCCAACCAGACCAACCCAAAGATTACCCAAACCAACCATCCCCAAAAAGATCAAGCCCAATCAATCCAACCTACCCAGACCGAACCGAACCAGAATAGATCGAGAAGCAGCCAAGCCAAAAATAGATCAAACCGAAGCAACCAAACCAAAATAGATCCATCCAACCAATCAACTCAGAATCGAACAAACACAATCAAACCAGCATAAAGCAAACCAAGCCAGACTATACCAAACACACCAGAGACGATCAATCCACCCCTGAAAGATTGGGTGTCGCCTGGAGAGGTGGTTCTGCCGGGCATCGCTCCCGCGGAGTTTGGGGGCACCATGCAGGGCTTGCCCGCGCCTTCCGCGGACAACTCCGTGGCTCCTCGGCCAAAGTTGCCGCGGGTGTCTCACTCCCTGGAGTTCCTGGACTTGATCTTCCCATTGCTGAAAAACATGTTTGTTTGTTTGTTTTATGTTAGTTTTAGGAGGAATCTATCACTACTGGACGTAAATCTATCACTACTGGACCTACTGGACGGAATCTTCCCTTTGCGGAAAGGAATTGGTATTCCTTTTTACGTTCCCCTGTTGATTTTGAGGGAATCTATCACTACTGCACGTATTTTATCTTTTTGTTTCATGGGCAGAAGGACATGTTTGTTCAATTTTCCGGTTCCTGGACAATCTTCCGGTTGCTGAACACATACACTAAATGGGAAGAGTTCCCAGCAGAGCCCGAAATGGGAAAAGTTGGTGACCCAGCTGCTTAGTTGCTTCCATTTGCTGAAATGAATATAATGTTTTTTCCCCCTGTTGGTTTAGGAGGAATCTGAAAGGTGTTCTTGTTATATGTTTTATCACTATTATTGTTTTTTTATTGTTTACGTCCCCTGTTGGTTTTAAATGGAATCCATTTCACTACCGCAAATGTCTTCCCTTTGCTGAACACCATACATTAAATGGGAAGAGTTCCTAGCAGAGCCCGAAATGGGAAGAGTTGGTGACCCAGTTGCTTAATTGCTTCCATTTGCTGAATATGATGTTTTTCCCCTGTTGGTTTGAGGAGGAATCTATCACCACTGGACATAAATACAATAAATAAAACAAACATATTTTGTCCAGGGGCTAAGTAAATAGAAGGTATACTTTTTGGGAAGAGCATTTGTTTGGTAAATAACAAGTTCAGACTTCTATTTTGCCAATACACTCAGGCAGTGATGTTTGCGCGTGGGTCGTTTTGAGGCTAGTTGCCCAATAAAACTTCCATTTGCTCAATGCGTATGTTTTCTTGAATTTAAAGGACATCTATCAGTAGTGGAAGTATGACGATTTCCAGGGAACTTAATCAAATGGAAGTTGAGAAACCCTTCTTCTTGAGCGGCGATAATGTTTGACTTGTTTAACCCAACATTTTGGATTGTTTCCGGGGGGATGTGTCCGTTTTTGTTGCCAGTCGGTACTCTTTCTTGGGTTGGTTGAAAGGGAAACCGAAAGGAAAGCCGCCGCTTTCAACACATACCCACGGAAATACATGGACACTTATTGGGAAACATGATACAACGGCCCTTAAACCTCATTCACTAATGATATGTTTGATTCCGGTCCTTAGTTGAGGAACCTTAAAATGCCAACTCGTTTCCGCTGAGATCCTCCAAAAGGGAAAGCACGAAGACCCAGTAGCTATTTTTACTCTTTGGGAGTCGGTTAGCCTTGCAAAGGGTGCCCTTTTGCCAATGGCTACTGGGGTTTGGGTGTTGATTCCGCCACAAGAAGCAGTTGGAGCACAACTTTGAAATGGACATCCCTGAAAAGCGGGCGGTTCCTGTTGCCTTTCGAGTGACAAGCGGATTGGAATGCTAAGAGCTGCTCGCTGATGCATATCTCCCAAGGATGCTGCGGACTTGGCCAAGATAAAAACCCCAAGCTGGTGATGTTGGGTTGTGAACCTCCTAACTTGTTCCTTTTGTTTGTTTGTTTTTTTTTTGGGGGGGGGGTTATGTTAAGCAGGTGTTATAGCCAAGCGTGGGGAGGTCGCTTCCAGTGTGCCGGAATTGCAAACCATACAGAACCTTTGGGGAGGGAAAGTGCCGTGTCGGATCAACCCTTTTGGAATCGATTCCCCTTTGCAGACATCAGACGGAGCGGGACTGCCCTTTCATATGAGCAGAGGACAATTTGCTGATAGTCTATTGTTGCTTGGGGAGGACAGGGGGCACCCAAGTGAGCCACAATCAAAACCCGGGTAGATGAAGGTTAGTAAGCGAAAGTCCCAGCAAGAATTAGTTGCGGCCGCCTTCTTGATTCTTTACATGGTTCCAGGTAGACCATTTTAGTACCAGGTTTGATTGCTACTCAAGTGTGCTGCAAATTCCAGAGGTCGACTCCCAATTGTCTAAGTCCTTTGAGGAAAAGTTCATGATTTTGTCCGGGGCTCATTTGCCTAGACCCAAGCAAACTAAGAACCTGCCCCATTCTGAGTCATGCATCCCAGTTGTTCTGGAAGTCGGTTTGTGTTCCTTTTTCCTAGAAAAGGAAGAAACCACTGATTGCCAAATGTGTTTTTCTTTTGAGGGTGCCTTGTTTGGGTTGTTTTTAAGGGAAACGACCAGGAAAACCACCAACAAGACGCGAAAACTCATGACCTCGGCCATTTTCGTTGCCTCCAGCCCTTCACTTCTTGCCGGCTTCACTCCTATGTTTCTCAAGCGAGAAATGCGGGCAGGACTGGGGCACCAACCAAGAAAGGGTCCAAGTTGTTTAGAAATAATGCTGAACCTGTGGGGGTGTTCACCTCCAAAAGTGGGCTGACTCCCCACTAAACCCAGAATCGGACACCCTTCCTATGAATAAACGAGTTGGTTGAAATTCACATGGTCAACATTACGCATGGGTTATCCAGAACCCCCTGCAAGGGACCCTGCCTCGCCTTGTGCCCACTAAAATCCTGTATGTTTTTCAAATCGAAGCCATTTCCCTAACCCTTGGGCATTTGTTCGTTCTGCTTCCTTTTTTTGGCCTGGGGGGAGAGGTTGTAGCTGTTTCTTTTGTTTAAGCAACTCACTTCTGAAGTTCATAGACTTTAGTCACTTTTGGGGTTTGGACCCTTTTAGTGATCGACAAAAAGTTTGGGTACGTCTTTTGGCCACTTCACTCAGACTCAGGAAGGGAGACAACTAGTCTTTGGTGCTATCGGGTTGGATTTTTAGACTTTATTTTTTGTATTCCCCTCATATTTCCTTTTTCGCCAGCAAAAAGATAAACGTTTTGGTGGGGGATCTGCAGCACCCAAGACTCGTCGTTGGTTCTAGGGTAACTTCCCCTTTCTGAACCCAGGGATCCTCTTTCTAGAAACCATCGTGAACACCCCGGGGAAATGGCGATCGGTTTTTGAAAAGAACGATGGCTCAAAAGAATGGAAATGGAATCAACCCCTAGAACTTTAGTCACTTTTGGGGTTTGGACCGTTTGAGCGGCAAACCAAAAGTTCGGGTACTTTGTTTCGCCCATCCACTCAGGAAGGGGTTCTTGTTCAGAATTGGCTCCCCTGTTTGGTTTTTTGCTTGTTTGAGGTCCCCTTTGTTTTCGGCTAACCAGACAAAAAGATGTAGTTGTTTGGAAGTGAGACAAGTCGTGTTTGGTGCTGAGAGTCCTCCCGTGGGATCCACGGCGAATCCGCGCTGAGGTGTACCGGGCCGCCTTTAGCTTCACCTGCTCCCAGGGCGCCGGCGCCATGCCCATCGAGCCCCATGGCCGAGCACGCGCATCGGAATTTTGTGGGGGCAGTGGGGCGGGTCGAAGCTCCAGCCGAGATTGCATCTTTTTGTTGGTAGGGTACCCCCTTTTTTTGTAGGTGTTCGGGTTTTCCTTTTTGTGGGTAGGGTAACCCTTTTTTGTAGGTTGGTGTTTTGGGGTTGGCTGTTTTGGATGGTACTCTTTCTATTTTTGTGTGCTTTCCCATTTGAGGCTGATCAAATACGCCATCGAAAGAAAACCACATTTTTGGGGTCCCCCTTCGACGCATTGTTGGATGGGTTTCAAGTTTGTTTGAGGGGGTCAAAGAGAAATGTACGATCTTTGGAAGTCTTATGTGTCCAGCAGGTTCCCTTTAACATCTACTTTCGGGAAGAGGGTGCTCTTTTTGTTTGCCAACGTTGTGGACTTCAAATTGGGGAGGATCAATTTATATAGTGTAAGTGAGCCAAAGGCGGCGCCTTCTATTGTTGCTTGGGCGAGCTTCGGGTTAAAATCAACACAAGAGAGTGTCAATTTGTTCTTCCACAGGGCATATAGGCGCATTTCCGTTGAACATAGACTGCGCTGGTTTCAGGTTGGTTTACTTTTCTTTTAGTGGAAGCCATCTATGCTACCCAAAAAAGACTCAGGCTAGGGAAGCTAGGGATCCCCGGCAAAAGGAACCCGCCGGTTGCATTTCTGGGTTGTCATTCCCTTGCCTGCCGATCGAACCAGCAAGTCCTTCATTCGCGGAACTGATCTTTGACCTGCACTTCGAATCGTATTAAGCATGCATGTAAACCAACTGATGTGGGTCCTTTGTTGGGGATCCCATATATTTATAATGGCAAACTACATAGTACATAAACCAATATAAAACCCCCTAGAAAGTCAACATAGGCTCAGGAATTCCTTTTTATTTCATGTCCTTGTGGGGTATTTAAGCCTCATATAAACACGGCTATCTTCACCCCGTCACCTGAATTTCACGTCTGTCTCCAACATTCATCCATAAACCTGATATGGATACAAACCCCGCGACATGGACTTAAGTTCCTAAAATGCTTGTTTGCTTGGATATACATTCCCAAGCAACAAGACATGCTTTCAGGGATATAAGGTTCGATCAACTTGTTTTCCCGAATAAGCAATCAGCAACTCATTTTCATGGATATACTTTTGATTAACCTCAATTTCATGGATGAAGACACCAAACCAGCTTATTGTCATGTATATCAATTTGATGGACAAACACCACACCAACTTAGTGTCATGTGTATATATGTATAACATGGATATAGTTTCGATCAAACTCAACTTCATAGATTCACTCCAACCCACCGCATTGTTGTGTATATAAATTCCACAAACCTGCTTTGCCATGCCCAACTAATATGTATATATATATATAGTCTAAACAGAAAAAAAAAAAAAAAAAAAAAAACAAGCAAACACGTACCGCTTTACTTCATGGTCGTGCCCCGAGTGGCGGCTGGGAAAAGCGCAGGTTTTCCAAGCTGGCGGTGCTGGACTTTCAGCTCAAGCGCCTCAGCGCCTCGGCTCGGGAGGCGAAGCTCCGTGGAAGGACCCCGAAGCAGAGCACGAAATGGGAAGAGTTGGTGACCCAGTTGCTGAATTGCTTCCTGAAATGTTTTGTTTTTTATTATTATTATTATTATTATTATTTTCCCCTTGGGGGGTTTTGAAGGGAATCTAGCACTACTGGACATATTTACATTTTTGCCAGGGGACTGAAGCACATGGAGGATTGAGGGAGCATCCGGCTGGCCTAAGGGAGTGACTGAGTGGAAGACTTGGTGACCCATTTGGATTGGCCCATTTGGTTTGGTGCATCCGGCGGTTAGTCCAGAGTGAATCCGCGGTCTTTGACCAAAGGATCCCTTGTTAACGGCCAATCGTCTTGCAGGACTTTGGTACTTTTTGGCGGGAGACTGATTGCAAAAGAGCAGGGTTATGCAGGGCTACTGCAGGGTAGACTTACCGGAACCCACTTTTAGGAAGCTAACCGGAACCCCTATTTTGAACCACACACCACAAGGGTGTGTCTTGTTTTGAGGCTCTGTACCCGTTTTCGGGTTGGTTTGAAAGGGAAACCAATGGGTTTCCGGTTGAGATCCCCTATTTCAAAACACACCCACATCTTCGGGTAGACGAAATACGGATTTGAGACAGAACGCATGATATTCTCCCCGGATGTGCCAAGTTTTTTTTTTCCAGCAAGAACAAACCCCAATGGATCCAACTCCTACAACCATGGCTTGGTTTCAACGTAGCTCACACACCCATTCAATTGTTTTGCCCGTTATAGTACCGCTATAGTTACCAGACATCCTTTACGCAGAACCTGATGGCTACCTACTATAGTGGTAGTTGGATCCACTGGGAAGGGTGCTCTTTCTGCCCTCTCACCAACACGGTTTGGTGCATGTTCGACCCTTTTAGGAAGTTGCCCTCCTTTGTGGAAAGGAGGCCTGTGCGCTTGAATGTTTGTCGGTGCTTTTGAGTAGGTAGTTTGGCATCTTTGTTGACGCGCCTCAAAACTAGCCTTGAAAAGTACCAAGGGACTTGGTGAGATTAGATGGAGAAAGGAATTTTGTACACCGCGGTGAAAGTAGATGGCACAACTCCCTGCATATGGGTAAGTAAAGGGGATGATGAAACTATCTAGGACCTGTTTGGGTTTACAGAGAAACCAGGAGATGGGTCGGGCTTTCGTGTTTTTTCTCGGATGTTTGTAGTCCTAGGGTCGAGGTTCTCTATTTGCTGGAAGCCATATCCCCGCAAGAACCGTTGCACGGAGGGTGAGCTACGAGATCTGTCACAACCTGGATATCAAATCAAGCAAGTTCAGCATTTTCCGTCCAAGTTGCTTGCGAGTGAGTCATGTCCACGACGAGCATGTTGGTCGACATGCCCCATGAAGGTTGCTTGAGGATTCATGCGTAGTTTACCCGCGCAATACCAAATCGTTTTACATTGCAACCCACGCCCCAGGTACACCCGCAGGGGTCGATAGAACACCAACTCAAAATTGGTAGACATACATCGAGCCATGTTTAAACCAATTCGACAGGGTCCAACGTTGAAGATGAAGGGGGGCTGTTACCATTGAAAACGGCACCAAGCCAAGTGTTCAGCCCCTTCTAAAGTTCCCTTTGGTTCTTCATGTGTAAGCATCCCGAGCTGGAACGGTTCCAAGGGGTACCCGCCCACCCACCCAACCAACCAATCAACCAACCAATCAACCCAACCCAACCCAACCCAACCCAACCCAACCCAACCCAACCCAACCCAACCCAACCCAACCCAACCCAACCCAACCCAACCCAACCCAACTCACCCAGCCACCCACGTCAGGCACCGCTGGGTCCTACGCCGCCTCGGAGCTGCGGGTCATGGACACGGCGACCAAAGCGCCGCGGGGCGCCAATGACTTGGCCAAGCAGATGGCCCAGCGCCGCTCGGGCGGGGTCGGGGCGGGGTCGGGGCGGGTTGGGTGGGGGTAGGGGTGGGGGTAGGGGTGGGGGGGGATGGGAGGGAGGGGTGATTCGGGGGAGGGCTATGGACACCTAAAGTGGATGGACGAAATCCATTTCGCACCACCGTTCAGAAACCCTGGTTTATGTTGATTCTCCTGTAAATACCAACCATCAATGGTTTGTCATGGTTTCCAAGTGGTGCCATGTTAAGACAAACCCCAATAATTAGTGTTATTGTTTGCTTCCCCTTGACCAACAACTTGGTGCTCAGACCGGAGGTTCATATGTCTTTGGGTTCTTTATACGTGCAGGTATCGGGTGCTTCCCCGAGAGGTGAAGCAAAAAGCTGCGTTGTGCAGGGGAAAGTCCCAGTACCAGCCTTGCTCCCCCTAGGTCCCCCAGCTAGGTGCCCTTGTTCACCCCCTTTTTGGTTGGGAGGGTTCACCTACTAATACAGAAAAAAGGTACGCTTATTCTAACCTCTCTACTGGAGGACCTAGTCCCCCATTTCCTGTTTCAGGGTCACTTAAACGAGACATTCGTGCGAGTCAAACAATTACCTTTTTGATGCCTTTGCTAGGAAGGTAGTGTCAAGATGTATGCCCAGCCTACCTTTCACTATTCTAGTTGCAAACTGCCATGTCTACTATTGAAGACATAAATATATATATATATATATATACACCTACATTATGAATATACATACATGCACACATATATAATATATATATATATATATATTTGGGAAGCACCCTCGAACACCTGCAAGGGAAACGCGTGGCAAGCGCCCAAAAGCGGCCCTTCAGCCGAGGATTTCAGTCGCAGTCCTGCCCGCGCTTCGTGCCCAGCAAGCAGGGCGCAGAGCTTTTGTTCGTGGCGGAGGACGTGGCGCCCCAGCGGAGGCGGCTGGACGGCTTCGGCGACTTTGGCGGTCTGCGGTTCGGTTTGCGTTTTTTTTTCTACAGGGCGGCTTCCGTCTGCGTGTTTGTTTTGTCTTTTTTTTCTGTTCGCGGAAAAGCGCAGGGGTCATCCAAAGGGAATTCCCTTTAGGTCGGGGAACCAAAGGTCAAAGGTTTATTTCTTTTTTGGCTTGGAGAAGGACAGGCGCGATCCGCGGTTCGGTTTTTTTTTCGGTCCGCGGACAAAAGCGGCGCCATTGTTTTGGATTTTTGAACATATCAAGGCAAGTCTTCAAACTCTGGGTAGAGGACATGGTTGTTGTTGGGAAACAATTTTTGCATGTGTGTTTTTCGTGGTTTTGTGGTTGAAATCAAACCACTTAAAGTCTGCTAAGATTTAAATTGTTGCTTCCCTTCCAACGTCAACGAAGCCGATTTCTTTATTTAACATATCGAGGCACGTCTTCGAAATCTGGGTACAGCGGCCAGAAATTGGTATCATTTCCATGTGGATCTATGTCCACGAACTGCTTTTCAGCGTGTGCCGCATGAACACTCATAGCCAGGGCTCTAAAAGAAAGAGAAAGAGAGAGAGAGAGAGAGAGGATTTTCATGCCCTCAGCACCCCCTTTTTGGGGAAAGCCGCCCTCCGATTTCTTGGACACGTGGGGGGAGGGGCGATTTCGCCTATCAGCTTTGGAAGGGCACAACCCTCAAGTAGAAGTAGAAGCAAAGGAAAGACAGAGAGAGAGAGAGAGAGAATAAAACTGAGCTCTCTTCCAAAACAGGAGACTAACGTAACCGGAAGAATTTGTTTTGGGGTACGTGGAATACCAGAGAGAATAAAATTGGGCTCTCTTCCCAAACAGTGACTAACACCACCGATTTCATGGAGTATCCCCTACCCCAGATTTGGGTCAAGACAGACTAGTCCTGGAAGACTCACGTGCCCGAAGCCAAAAGAATGAGGGCTGATCCGTAATTCGCATGCGCCGAATAGGTTGACCGGGTGGACATCGATGCCCATGATGCTTCCGCATCGGGTGCCACCCGGATTGAATCAAGGCTTTTCACTCGCGCTCAAAGCCAATCTGTCTGACTCTATGTTCCCATTTCAAAGTTCAAGGTCGCAAAAGGTGCTCACCCTTTTCCATGTCCATCAGGCTTTTCGAACCTAGACGTGCGGTGCGGAACCAATTAGAAAAGCGGAAGGAGGTGTTTCTTGCGGGAATTCAGCGATCTCATATGTCAAGCAACCTCACCGAAGTCATGTGAGCTAGTCCGAACGCGGGTAGATGAAAGGTGAGGGACAGCCCCACACGGCGACTCTCCGCATCGCTTCTGGGCGATGTGAATCCCAGAATCCGCCGCAGCACACGGGGGACTGAGACCAGTAAGGATTTCCCTTTTCCAGGCAAGATTCATGTTGAAGAGTGATCTGATGTATCGCGGTATTGTTTTGAAAGACTTCCTGGCCAAGCGACAAGGAAGGAAACCTTGTCCATCATGTGTTCATGTTTTTGGCTAGGCTTCCCTGGAACAAATTTACCAAACCAATATAAGCCAGGAAGCGCGACGCAGCAAGTCACCAAATCATGCCGCAATTCGCATAATTTTGCATAATAGCCAGGTCGACCACGCTGAGCGTTTCCTTGATGCTTCCTTCAAGGGAATCTTTAGGTTTATTCCTAACACCTGGAAGGTCATTCCCTACCCATCGCACCAGCTCCGAGGCTTGCCCAGCTGCAGATGCTCGAGACGCCCACCGGCCGTAAGCTTCGGCCGGAGGACGGAGATAGGGTATCGAATTGAGTGGCCGCACGCAGTGAAGCAGTGAAACCGTTTTTTTTTTTTTTTCAAGACTATGTCATATTTTTGGGTAGACTCCCATGGAACAGCATCAGAAAGTATTTCAGTTTGGTCTACCTCAGGCCAAGATGAGGGCTGCCAATCATTGGGGAAGCTTTTCGCGCGCTTGATCACAGGTCCATGGGTCTGAGTGGTCACGAATATGGGCCAGAACGAATATGGGCCTCTCATGTGACAGGTTAGTTGCACTTCCGACCCTTCCAAGGATTCACTCCTTCCAAGCCTTCCACGCCTGCCAAAAAGTCACTCCTGGAAGTGGACAGCAAGCCTTGGACAAGCAGCAAGCCTTGGACAAGCATCATCTTTTACGGGACCCCACTTCTGGCCGTGTCGATCAGGCGGTCAGTGACGAGGCATCGGCCTGGCGGGGAGCGGTTTGTTGCCTATTGATAGGCAGGGCTAGCTTGGGGGTAGACTTAAACCCAAGCGATTCTCTTTTGGGGGAAGCAAGCACCTGCATTGGGGTAGTGCGAAAGCGGAATGAGGCAATAATCCTTATAAACCATCCAACTGTTGGATTCCTTTAAGGGGATTCCCTCCCCGAGCACCAGCAAGTTGTAAGAAGCAAAAGGCAAATGATCCAAGTATTCAACTGTTGTATGGTGTTGATGTCTTCTATGCTCGGGGAAGCTAGGTTTAGTCAAAGAATAGTAATAAACAAACACATGCTTATTCATTTATTCGTTTGGTCTTTCATGCATTCATCCATTCATCCATTCGTCCAGTCATGAATTCATTATGTCATTCATGTTTTCTTTCTTTCATCCTAGACTTATGTGTGTCCTTGTTTCTTTGTTAATTTCTTTATGTTGTTCATTCTTGCTTTGTGTTTTTCTCTTTAGTTCTGTTTTTCTTTCTTTATTTAGCTCTTCTTTCTTTCACTATGTTATTATTCACATGGGTGTTGTTTTATAGTTGTTTGTTGTTGGTTGTGTATTGATGTACTTGTTTGGTTATGTGTTCTTGTATTTGTTGGTGTTAACTTGCTATGTTCTTCAAGTATTTACTTAGCTGTTTTCTTGTTTTGTTTATCAACTTATTTCTGCATTTTGGTGGCTTCTTTGTACATGCATTTCTATGTTTCGTTTAAACAACATATTCATTCTGCCATTCATGCTTCCTGAGCAACCCCATCTTCCAAAACTTCCTGTTTCAATGAACCTCCTCTATCTATATGCTGCCATCTGTCACTCGACGCCTCTTTTTTTTTTTCTCTCTCTCTCTCTCGCTGTCTCTCTCTCACCCACGCTCCCACCCAGAGTATGATGCAGTTGGAGCTTGGTAGCGATGTGCATTACTTTACCTTTCACCAGTGAAGCTTTAACTAAATGGAATGGGAAAGTGATTGGTCATCTCGTGGCCTCTTACCCCTATTTCGGTGTATTTGTGTTGAAAAGACCAGGAACAAGAGGGAGATTCTCAACTTCGGGACGCCCGCAGCGACCGCTACAAGCATGGGGCAGCATTCCAACACAAATCACAACTTTAAAGTAGAGCGCTTGAAAAAAACCTTTTCAGCTTTTATAGGGAAGCCCAAAGAACAGCTACCCTTTTGGGGGATCGAGATTCCTATTCTGACACAGTGTGTCTCACAATGGTGCACCCTGTTTTGCTCTCTCTTTTTTTGCCTTGGTCAGATGGAAGCCAAAAGGACACCATACCCACAACACGATGATGCTGCAGCCTGTTTTTTTTGTTGCTTGGTAAGGCTTGGTATGGAAATCAAAGGGACCAACCCACAACAGGGGACCACTTTGAATCACCATGCCCCTCCGGAAGACCTGGCCAGGGCTGGCAAGACGCGGCGGCGAATCCCGCCTCGGCGCAGCGGAGCGCTGTGAATGCAGCGTTAGCGTCTCATCTGGCAGGGGTCTCTTGCGAAACAGCTTGGTTCACCATTTTTTTGGGTAGACTATGAAACAGAATCAGAAGAGTGTGAATTTCGCTGTACTCCCGCGTGCTTTCACACGGGGCATCCCGCTGTTTGCTCACAACTAGAAGGTGGATTTGCTAACCTTTGTTACCGCGCGGGAAATCCTCCGAAACGGGTCCATTGAGAAGGCACCGACCTGGCTTGTTGTTTTTGCGGTTTTTTCTTGGGATCCCATAGGTGGTTGACATTCATGTTTTCTGTGAATTAGGTTCAATGGAGTATTGGAGTATAGAAGCATCACTTGTTTATGTTTTCTTTTTTTTCGTTTTTTTTTTTTTCTCGGAGGGGGGGAGGTTCAGGGGCATGGTTGTTTGGATGTAATTATTCAGAGCGTGGGGTGATTCTTGCGGTCTGGCACAAAGATGGTGAGTCGCATATGTTTTGGGTCCCAGCGACCCCCCAAAAATACGCAATTGGCCGTTTGCCTCTTTGTTTTTCTATAGGGCGGCTTCCTTGCATGGCTACGGTTAGATGGATCCACAGGGAGGAGGGGGACAGGTAGAAACATGTTGTGCCAGAGCTCAAATGAGGTTCCTGCTGTCGATGTTCTTTACATCATGAGCTATCCTGTTGGGAAGATCACTTTCGGGTGGCTCAGACCAGTTTCGGGTGTCTCAGACGTGCTGCATGTTGCTTTCCGATCATTCCAAAAAAGTTTCTGCTCCACACAGGCTGATAAGGGAGGAATAAAAGCGACCCCGTGATTCCATTCATAACCTGCGTTTCCTCGTTTGGCTAGCCAAAGCGGGGACTGCACACGCCTCTCCATCGGGATGCTTGATTGAACAGCCCTAGTTGAAAGGGGATGGAGCTTTTTCACGATAGACCCCTCACAATGAAAGTCGTGTCCGTTGGGTGTTCAACTGAATTCAATAGCAACCGTTTGGTGTTCCCTTTTTCTTTTAACACTCTACGGGCCTAAATATATAGAATGATTTTGTGATGGTGGTTCTGAGTTTCCACACCGAAATGTGTCTTCTTTATTTTTGCAGAGGAGCATCATTCCAAATAGATATCAAGCTTATATTGTCCCAACGAGTGCCAGTGGGTTGGTTTCGCTTTCACTTCTCCGAACTCCTCGTCATCCAATCCCAAAGGGTGCACCAGCATTCCGTTGCCTGCCAAGGGTAGTTCCTTCGCCCCTTATTTGGAGGGTTATGGATACCTACCGGGAGAGACTCAATGGCAGTGTTCTTTGTGACTTCTCCTTGCCAAGCCAGAAAAGGAATTCCCTTGACACCAAATACAGATCCAACATCTTGACTTGAAACAACACCCCTTGATCCCTTGAACCAAACCTTTAAAAGTTTCCTTTGGATCAATGGTTGGTTGCGTTTTTCCTTATCCAAGCTTCTCGGCATCCAACCCCAAAGGGTAGCAACAGCATTCCGGTGAAAATATTTTTTCCAGGTTGCCAGTCATGGGCAGTCCTTGGCTCCTTCGCCAAACCCTTGGCTCCCCAGCTGCATACGTCTCCATGTTTTGGAGGGTTACCTTGTATACCCGGAGGGGAAGAACTCAATGAGTTTTGGTCTTAGAAATCCATTTTGGTCTTCAACTGTTTTTCAGTTTTTGGAGGCCAGTTGAAAAACTCGATGGGGAAAATCGCCCCCTTCACCCAGTCCAGGGGGCGGTTCTTCGGATCCAAAAAGTCCCCTGGAGACTTTCGTCGCTTTCGGCTCCCTAGGAGCGGCATGAGGCGGAGGTCCTGCTTAAGGGTGCCAAGGAAGTGAGCGCAATATCTCAAATGCTACCTGGCATCCGGTTGATCCAAAATGTCCCGCGCAACATGGTCCTCCTGCTTGGGAAACCACTGAAAAGATGGAATATGTCCCACTAAATGGGTTGGGAAACCACTAAACTGATTGGACATGTCCCACTAAATTGCTGAATTGGTGGGAAACACACTAAACTGATTGGATATTAGGAACATATTTGATATGTCAACCACATGGGATGCTCAAAACTGGGGGCCCTTCAAGGGAAAATCGATCAACCCCTTGCAGCCTCGCGTTACAGATTTATTAATAGAAAAGGAAGGGAGAAATAGATGGCAGATAAAGGATTAGGAAATTATATGTGACCTGCCATCTCCTCCCTCTCACAAATGGCTTTCCAGTTCTCTCGCTCTCGTTCATTGTCAAGTCTCTGTGAGATAGAGACATCAAATTCAATGATGGTGGTTTTATTAGCCCAGTTTGTTTGAATGGCTTGAACCCCAGGGTTGGTACAGTTACACATGTTCGGTATTTTCCCACCGCACGAGCTTGTCTTCTAGACCCTATCTTTGTTCGCACTGGGCAGGTGTCAGAGGACGGTTGAGTTGGGTTTGGTAAGTGGCAACTGGCTGCTTTTTCCAGCTTCAGGTCCAACCTCGGCCCCTCACATCGATGACTGAAAGTGAAAACCGCAACCTGGTGTTTGCTCTGGAGTGGGTTTCATGGAGCGTGGAGTCTATGGGTTTCATAGGCCTAGAGGAAAATGGGCCAAACCACAAGATCTCTTTCAGGTTCCATTGACCAAAGGCTTGCCGTTTTTGATTTTTCCCCCGGCCTTGTTGGTTTCTTCATTTTCTTGCTGGTTCTCACCAGGAAACGAGAAAAGGAAAACACACATCCATCCTGCCCTGTTCGCAAGAGTCCCGGAGCCGATCAATGCCAATAGGTCCATTCCCAACACCGGGTCTCGGTCATTCCCTATATTCCCTATATACCTATTGCCCCAGCAAGTTTTCCCTCCAAAAGTCTTGTCACTTCCAAAATGGGACCTGTTTTTAGGGATTGTCTCACCTTCCAATGGGAACCCCCCTTAAGGTCATCCCTTTGTGTCTGGCCCAGGTCCCATTTGAGAGGCAAAAGCTTTTGGCGGGCGACCGCTGCCTCGAGGTTGGCCATGGGTGACCACGAGATGCCGTTTGCCTCCATCAGCGGCTGCCCAGAGTTCGCGCAGGACTCAGCCATGGGACGGACCAAAAATGGGACACCTAAATTGGGGCACCTCTGAGAATCTAAGATGCCGCCCCACTGGACTTATTAGGCTTAGGAGTTGGGGTTGGATTCGGTTTAGTTTTGTTCCCCAGATGGCTGAAAGCTATAGGTTCTAACTTCCAATAAGGGGGGGAAAGTGATTTGCGAGATTGACGGTAGGGTGCTAGGGGGCATGCAGTTTGGGGTGCTGGTGCAGGTGGTCTGTTTGGGGTGCTGATTGATTTTCGCGAGATTGACGGCCGGGTCTGGCTGCTTGGGGGGTGCTCTTTGGCGGGCGCATTTTTGCTTGATTGACGGCAGGGTGCACTGGGGCATACAGCTTGGGGTGCTGGTTAATGCTGTTTGGGGAGCTGTTTGAGCGCTCTGGTTGGAGGTGCCTGTGTGCAATCATTGCTATCTGTGGTCTATGCTGGTGTATTTGTTTCCGTAGGATTTAGATTGGGCCCCCCAAAACCCTGTCCCTCTGTTCTGCGCAGTAATTTGCACTTGCGCATACCCGCTCCCCCTTCTTCTCGCGGATCACTCGCCACAAGGGGGCACCCTCTAAAACGAGCTTGGGTCCGAACTTGACGAAGTTGGCAGCAGCGTATGGGTGTTTCGTAAAATAGAGGGACTCACAAAATTGCAAATTTACTCACACGGGGATCCAGGTGTCTCCCCCCCAGATTGCTTGCGCGCCCTCGCTTCCTTTTTTCAGGACCGTCCCCCTTGTGTGAGGTATGAACATTGGCACTGGCAAGGTGTCCAGGAGTGCTTAGGAGTTAGGACTGGAACTCTCATGGACTCATATTATACTTAGGTGTGTCCTTTGTGTGGGCACCTGTTTTTGGGAGGTCGTAAAGGGAAACCAAACGGAAAACCAACCATTTTTGGGGGGTCCCCAAAAAAGACACACCCATATCATGGCTTTTCGTGCAAAGCCCTTTTTGTTTGCGCGAGTGAAGCGCCAGAAGGCATCTGCTTGATCCACTGTTGACACCTGCGCAACTACTAAAAGTCAAATCGAATGCCTTCACGGGAAATTTGGGGTATGCTGAAAAGGGTTTGTTGGGTAGGGCCCAAAGTTCAGTGCCTTGCAGTACTTCGAGCTCCAGTCTCGAGTTGGAGTTACCTCGGTTGTTCAGTGGCACCAATTTGTTCCCCCTTTTTTTGGTGGCTGCCCAAGCTCTAAAAATGGGTCTTCCCCAAGAAGGGTTCCTATTTACCTCAGGATGTTCATCATCCAAATTGGGTCCGGCCTTGTCCCATTCGTTTATTGGGACGCGGCTTGAACCGGAGCGAGCGCCAGTCTCGAGTCGGAGTTACTTGCGTGTTCTCAGGTGCCCAGCTTCTACACCAACACCGAGAGTCTGCAGGAGGCCTTCAAGGATGAGGTCATGCAGTCCCCCGAGGAGCATTTGCTTGAGCACGCCGCGGATGGATGAGTGGTGGCCGTTTTTTGTTTTTTGTGTTTTTTTTGGGGGGGGGTTATTATTATGATTACTATTATTATTATTATTATGATTATGATTATTGGTTATTATTATTATGTTCATTGTTTTGGTTTTATTATCATGATTATTATTGTTATTATTATGCTTAAACAACAAAACAAAAACATGTGTGTGTGTGCACAGGGAAACTAAAGCGAAGCCATGTGGGTGGCGCGTCAGATAGTCGCACCCGAGGTCCGAAGCGCGGACTTGAGTCACTATAGATCATTTGGCTGTGGGTCAAGCTTATGTACCCAAAATGGCGTGCCCTGCCAAATGGAACCAAGCACTAAAACCTGCGCTCCCCTGGTTGCTTCATTTTGACCCATACCCATTTTGGTACCTTAGCAAACTTGGACTTGTTCGGGCCGATCCACTCAGGCAGTCAGTAGGATCTGAACAATTTCCAACATTATGGAGACATATGGAGACCCCACAACCCCATGCTACTGATTTTAGGCCCTTACGGTGCCTGGAGTCTGGAGGCCATGAAACGCCAGGCAGTGCGAGACGAGTTCTGTTTGGATAAGCGTGCTCTTCAAATCCAGGCTGCGCGACATACCTGGTCCTTCCAAATTTGCGTACATGTTTGGATAAAGAAACAACACGAGCATGAACATGTTTGTGGAACGCCTTTACTGAGCAATTTGCATATTTTTTGGCCCGACTCGACTCGACTCAACGTGTGAGACAACGTATGACAGTTCCCTTGCCAGGTTTTGTTGCGCCAACATGCTGAAACCGGACAAAACCACACGCAAAACGGAGGGATATGTAGAGCAATCGCTCGGGAGAAGTACGGGATGCGGAACCTTTGCCCGGAGACATGTGAATTGCACACATTGACCTGGCTGTTCGGGCCATGCGAGCTTTGCCAGCACCGGAGCTGAAAGTCAGGTTCTTGTAGCAAACCAGTGGGAGACAGATGGTTGTCTTTGCCGACAAGAAAAAACACAGGTTGTGCTCAAGTCTGGATTTCACATAAATGCACGGAGAATCGCAGAGCAAGTGCTCTTGGGTTGTCCAGCTTTGTTGAGGACCTACAGATTCGGCCACCACGCGCGGATTTTAGACAAACCCCAAGGAAGCCAAGCAGTCGGATAATCTTTGATGTCCCAGTTGTTGAGTAGCCCATAATTTTCAGTTTACGCAAAGGGAATCCAGACACAGATAAGTGATTTGTTACGCAGCCCATTATTATTTAGCACTCAGCTTCCAGATCGTTGTTGGCCAGAGAGGGGCCAATCTCACGTACAGGAGCGTTTGAGACGGCAGCGCATAGCCGATCAGACGCGAGACTCTTTTGCAGCTCAGCTGCAAGTTGAGATCCATGTTGTGTCACAAACAATGGGCGGGTCCTTGATCCTTGTTTCCCTTTTTGAGTGGTAAACATATTACCTTCTTGGGCCGCGTTGAGATGAGTTTCCTTTTAGTGGGGTGATGTTTACCAGGGACATATCCGGAACCATGTTGGAGCACCCAAAATTCTTGGGCTCTTGTCTCACCTCTATCGATGCTGTATACTTAGTCCTTGAAGCCTGTGGCTGGTGAGGGAGTTGAGTCTTCTCAATCCCTGGATGTCGTTCGCACACCCCGACAGAGTTTCAGCTGGACAGGCTGGGGCCAACTCGCCGTGACATGTTTGAACCACCTCCTTGGGGCGTTCCTGGCAAAATCGGACTGGTTCTTTAAGCCTTTTTTTGGCCCACTGGACATGCTCTTGGTTTTTGCAACACAATGATTACGCAATGAAGCAATTGCAAAGTGCCCCCTTGCCCCCTTGATTATATCCTAATTGTTGGAAACTCGGTAAGGAGAAAAGTGACGTTTGATCCGCCTGCTTCCTGAGCAAGGAGGGATTGCGAGACATATCAAACGAGGCTGCATCATCATCACTCTTACACCATGGTACTCAATGGGCTAGTTGGGCGTGCAGACGAGACCTGAGCCACAAATCAAAACCCGAATGGATGAAGATCAGCAAGGGGAAGTCCCAGCCGGACATAGTCGCGGCCGCCTTTTGAGTTTCCTTACATGAATTTGGGTAGACCATGTTAATACCGATCGGTTTTGATCGGCCAAGGGCGGTCTTTGAGAATTGTGAGTCGCAAGTTCCGTTCTTCCCCCTCCTCAAGCCACTGGAAGTTCCCGAGGATTGCGCGGTGATGCACATGTGCTGTCCATCTTGGACAGGGTTGAGGCAGTCATAGCCAGGCGCAGCTTTCGAGGCCTATAACATGCAAGTGTTTCAGGTACAGCTTACTTGTTGCACTGGACTTATCAATGAAGCTAACCAGGGCGTTGACTGAAGAGCACACATGGCTCACTATACCCGATGTCAGAGGACCGCATACAAGGGCCTCAATATTTTTTGCATAGTTTACACCGATATAGAATGGCTCGAGTTGGTTCTTGAAGTTCTAATTCGGCTTTCCTGTACGTTCTGCATTACAACCACAACAAAAAGAAGGCTACCCCCCAAAATCAAGCAAGCGCCCCCCTCAGGCCCCCCTCCCAAAAAAAAGGGCAAAAGAACCACAAAAGCATGAGCCGGCCATGTGCCATGCAACTTAGGTGTGCATCACGGTGCCCAACAGCAATTCCGTCCTGGGTGTGGAGGCGCAGGTCTTGGCAGGATCTCTCGCCGTTGGCCCGCCCATGGGCGAGGCCCAGGGAACGCTGTTGATCTGAGAAATATGGAGCTTGCCTCAAAGGGGAGCCCATGGCGCAAAATGGCGCTTTCGGTTTCTGTCCCTTTGAACCCCGCCCAAAAGGGCACCTTTGATAAAAGGCCTGGGCCTAATTGAATGATGTCAGCATGAGTATGGCGTTGCGTGAGATAATCATGATCATCATCATCATCATCATCATCATCATCATCATTATTATTATCATCATCATCAGTGTGAGGTTACTTTTGCAAATGAGCCCGTTGATGTCGTGGTGTTCATTGCGAGTGTCCGAGAGGGAATTGCAAGGGCGTGGAGATGTTTCCCTCGTGTCAGAGCCGGGCCCAGCCAGTAATAGTGCCAGGCTGGTGAACCATTGGTCCTTGCATAGATCTGCGGAACCATCCTGCAGGTGCAAAGAGCATGTAGTAAGAGCCATCCATAGAAGAGGCTAGTAGTCAGGCACAGGGAATTATGTGAGCCAATCTCATGAATACCAAGCAACAAACCAACCCAACCCAATCCAACCCAATCAATCCAACCCAACCCAACCCAACCCAACCCAACCCAACCCAACCCAACCCAACCCAACCCAACCCACCAACCGTAGTTTCTCTTGCAAGAGGTCGCTTAGTATGGACCAGAGTCCAAGCATGTCTAGGCATGTTTAGCTGAGGCCGAGTTTGTTTCTCTTGAAACCATGTTTTCGCGGCTGAGAAAATGAGAATTGTGAAGTACCGAGGCCGGTTGTGTCGACTCTTGCTGGCCAAACTTCAACTTGTTTTTGTGTTCTGAACAACTTCCATCGCAACCTTGAGTGATCTTGAGTGTCTTTTGGACGATTGAGGTCAACGAGTACCGCCACGACGCGTCAAGGGGGAAATCTGTCTTTTTTTGGGGGGGGCATGCTTCCTGTTCATCTTAGTCGATGTACACGTTAAAGCCACATGATGTCGGGCAAGCCAGCTCGGGTCAGTCAATGTCTCGCTGATTTTAGAAACATGTCATTTTTTGTTTTTTAATGATATTGCTACTTTGGATGTTCCGTTTGTTCGTTTGTTTCTTTGTTGCTTTTGTTGATGTTGCAGTGATGCCGGTGGAGGTCTCTCCCAACACAAAACTACCTAAGCAAATGACCAGGGTTATGTCAGTTTGCTTTTCCGATCGAAGAGGGGGGTGGTGATATCAGTCAAAGAGGGCCCCCCCTGTGTCAGGAAGACATGTGGCGGCGTACGGCTGTCTAAGTGTGTGGCAGAATCGCAGTGCCGGGGGATTGGGCAAGCTACCACGGCGCTCGCTTCTGTTCGCCCAAGTACCTCGGCCGATCTTCTCGTGACCCTTCCAATGCTGCTGGGTTTATTTTGAGGATACCAGTTTTTTTTGCTCCCAATATGAGACACCTTAAGGGGTGGTTTCTTTCTGACCCAAACTCGGCAAGCCGCAAACCAATAAACTTGATAGCCTCTCCCTCAGGAGAGATTCGCAAGACGAAAGCTTTCCTTGTGGGGTTGCCCCCCGAAACGTCCACTTCGATAAGTGTTGGAGAGAGGGTAAAACCAGACTTCGTCAACCGCTGTTCGTTGTCCAATGACCAAGAAAAGATCGGCCAGCCGCCAGCCGCCCAAATTGCTTTCTTGATCAACAAATTCCAACACGTGTTTTTTTTCTCACAAGCAACAATTAAGCAAAAGAAGACAAACATGCGCGGAGAGGTGATCAACCGGATGGAGCTCTACAACGTGAAGCGCGCGGAGAACTCCAAGAGTCTGGTGGTGGGCGGCTGCAAGCCGATCCGCGCCGCGGGGCGGCAGGGCCACATGCGCCGCTCGGCATGCAGCAGCGAGCGAGCGAGGCCACGCGTTGGAAGTACCAGAAAAAAAAAGGGAAGCTTTCCGGCCGGGGTGTCCGTTTTTTGCTTCTTGGTGATTTTATCGGTTCTTGTTTTGTTCTTTTTGTTTTGTTTTTTGTGTTGATCTTCTTTTTTTTTTGTGGCGGGGTTCCCTGATTTTCCAGAGGTTGATTCATTGATTCCAATTCCATTGTTTTCACCCTCGTTCTCTTTAGGAACTTCCCCTTTTTTCTTGGGGGGGGGATTGGCCAATTGTTTGCAGAGAAGGATCCCTGAAACGAATCAGGAAGGTACGGCTCGACTGATGCACAAAGCCGACCCCGCGTTTGAGTATATCAAGGATTTTGGAGGTTTGTTGCTCCTAACTGGTCCATCCACAGCATCAACAAGATATCATGCACGTGCGAAACTGCGAAACCTCAGGGTGGGTTGCAAAATTGGGTTTCGACAAGTAAACCCTGGACCCTTCAAACGGAAGCCAAACTAAGATTGTTTGACCAGTTCCCTGGGGTTCAACCCCCATTAAAAGAATGGCAAGGACCCAGTTTGGATGATGGAAATCCTGAAGGGTAAATATTGGTGACTATAAATTAAACCGCAACCATTGATTTAATGGTGGCCTGCCTGAACCCCAGGTTGCTTATCCATGTAAGAGTCTGGCCGCTCGAAACCTGGATGGTGGGCTGTCTCAGGAATGGAGGCCGCGCTCGAGAGCGTCATGAAGACCTTCCAATTTTCCGATGACCGACGCCAGTACACTACCTGGCCACTCGAAAAGTTTGCAGAGGATCGACTGGGGGGGGGGCTCCCATATGAAACCTGGACAACTTCGCGTCAAAGCTTTTGGTCACTTTCAGACAAAAAACAGAAGCCAGAGGCCAGAAACCAGAGGTGCACTCACATCCGCTTGACCTGAAAAAGATTGAAACACTGGGCAGCTCCCGACCACCAGATCTTCCTTCAGCTCAGCTTTCGGGTGAAACCGGGCTGACATCACGAACAGCGCGAAGGCTTCAACGAACCCACGACCCTTCCGAATCAAAGAGCGACTGCCCCCCTCCAAGGGTGGTCAATCGGTACCCAAAATGTCATAGCAACCACACAAGGGCACATCAGGTAGAAGCGGATCACCGTAGAGCACTTCATTTACTGAATGGAGAAAATACGACGTGCGCACACACGACATCGTGGGAGAAGTAGCTCTGAGTTGGAGGTGAACATCTCCGAATCTTGATGTTTAGCAAAAACATGACACATGCGCAAAGAAACCATCAAGCCAGGAAGCTCATCCAGGAAGTTCGACTTTTTGTGGGTATTTGGCTAATTTCCGGAGAGAGTTTCCTGGTTTGATGGTTTCTTTGTGTGGTATCGAACTCCTTTGCGCGTCGCTGTTTCAATGTGTCCCAATGACAAGACTCATGGACTTAACATGCCGGATCCTAAGCTGAATGTGTTCAGGAAGTGTGGTACTGTGGATGGACGGAATCCTGCACCAGATTGAACCCATGGGAAATCAGTGCTTGTTGGCATTTACAGGGGGATCATCATTCCTGGGTTTCTTAGGTGGTGCAGGATTTCGTCCATCCACAGTAGCATTGCCTTTTTTTGGCTTCCAAGCCAAACTCGAAGGGCGTGGGAACAAACATCAATGCGTGTTAGCGCCAGGCGGGTTCTGTGCGGCAGGGGCCAAACAGACATCGCCAATGCAGAAATCTGCAGCATATCATACCTGAAGGGGTGATCGTCAAACACGAGTTTTGGAAATCGAGATCAGTGAGTTGAACAGGGAATGCCCGACCATCATAAGATATGCATGTAGCAACTAACTGCAGTGGCTTACTCGGCCCTCGATTCATATGGGTCCCTTTCCACATTTCTTTAAGTGCCTTTGGGCTTTGGGACCATGAATCCGACAGGGCGGTCCATGGGATCAGTTTTGGACACTTTCGGGCTTAAGGGCACGGATCCAAACGTGGGAAACCTGAGGCAAAAAGGGCTGACGGTAAAGAACTGGAAATGGTGTTCCCTTGGTGCTTTTCAAATGCAAACACGGAAAAGGATGGGACGTCTAGGCCGGGTCTCCACTTGAGGCCGCCTTATGGCAGTTCTTGTGAGGCGAACCAAAGGGGGACCCCCAAGAATGGATGTCGGGTTTCATGCAAGATCGGGATGCTGGATTTCAGTTGATGGACGACGCGAAGCACACATCGAGTCTGTGGGTTTTTGAGGTTGGCGTGCATCACGCAAGATCAGAAGGTCGCCATCGTGGAGAGCGAGAAGCACAAAAATTGGCCTTTCGTCCCGCAAAGATCCAATCCCTCCTCGTCGGCAAAGGGGGGCTGGGTTTGGATTCCTGGTGCCCCTTCCGCGAAATTGGCGCGACGCAGGGACCAACCGACAAGGGCATCCATCCCCTTTTTGGACAACCCAAAAAACCGAGGGCTAAATGTACCATAGGATATCTAATTGGAATGAATGGTCATGTGTTTACCGGCCTGTCCCTGAAGAAATGCCTGGTTGCTTGATGCATGGACCCGCACAAGTTTCAACTTCCAACTCGAGCGGACCCCAAACCCCCCAGGTGAGCCACTTGCCAGACCGGGAGAAGGTGAAGGCATCTTTTTGCCATAGACGGGTTTCAGTTGCCACAACAATGCTTGGGCTACCTGCTAATACCTGTCAGGATGTGCGAATCGTCCTTGATGTTTTTCTTTTTTTCGGGTCTTGAACCCCAGCGTCAAAATTGGTGTCTTGGCCTTTTGAATTCTTGAAGCATGATTCTGGGTCGCCTATTCTAGGTCCCCAGTAGTGCCCATTTACCCTTTTTTGGGGGAGGGCTCCCCTACTAAAATAGACGTCTTGAACAAAGTTGGTACCCTTCTAGCCTCTCTACTGGAGGACCTGGTAATTTCATACCGAATCCGTTCTCACTATAACTCAGGTGTGTCTCCGACTTGGCCCTGCTAACCTGGAAGCGGTACCTCTTGAACATGGGCCCTTTGGATACGGGTTGAAAGCATACCCCAATTCTTGAGCGATATTCGACTTCCTTGGGTGTTTGGTATAGGGCAAATTCCCTTGGTGTTTGGATTGTTCAAATGGAATAAACTCAGCCCGGAGTTCCGTTGTTTCTTCTAGCAGGATCACTGAAAGAACTGGGCTAGCGGACTTAGCTGCGCGATTTTGAAATCGGGGGATATGTGCAGCTGGTCATTTTTCTGTCCACCTGTGTAGCAGCCGTTCAGATTTCAGGCAGAAACCAGGCAGAAGCCAAACAGCGAAACAGCCCGAGGAACCGGATGTGCCGAGAGATGTGCGCCAACCAACAGCCAAAGCTGCCCGAAAAACTGCCCGGGAACTGCGCCCCCCCGTTGGCGCGATCGATCCCCGGGAAGGGCCGCCAAGAGTGGTGAGTTCAAACCGAGCGCATGGGGCATGGTTTTTCGTTTTTTGTTCGCCTTCCGAAAAACTCGAGTTTTGGTGTAGACCCGGCTGAGATGGAGAGTTCAATAGAAGAACTCCCTATGGAATTCCTGTTGGCTCAGGTGCACTAGGTGAACCAAATGAAAGTGTCTTGTTTGAAGGTAATTCCCCAGTCTCAGGTTGTCTTAAGGCTAGAAGGACAAAGCCAAGTCAACAGGCACTTCAAGCTGCCACTGTTTGACAGCAAATCGTGCATCCCAATCGGAATTCTTCAGCTACTTCTTGCTTGCTTGTGAAGGGCAAAGAACACGGGAGCAACATTTCAAATGAGATACTCCATGCGCGTTTCGGTTCAAGAGAATCGGGTCTGGTACCCAGGCAACCCCTTTACTCGTGTTGTACCAGGGAACCCGCTCTGGAATCGGAGGAATTAGCAAGGCAAGGCATGCGGGATGCGAGGCACCTCGACCGCTCAACCGCTCAGGATCAATATGTCCATGCCATATCCATTCTGGACTGAGAACAACCAGTTCGATTGGTGCGGCCCGGACAATCAAGAATCCTGCTTCGAGGTGTGGTCAAATCCCAACCCCAACGATTGATGACGGGGAAGCCTTTCGGCTTCACGCCCTGTCTGATTCCGCGAGGGTGTCATGGTGTTTCCGTTTTGAAGTCAGCTCACGTCGTTGCAACTTGTTCAGCTTGCTGCTTGGCTGTTCGAATTCCGTGGGTGCTCCTGACATACCAGATGCTCACAAAGCGCTGGGTTGTCCAAACATCGCCAGGGCAAATGTTCAGGAAAGGAGACCTTGGATTCTGTATGGGTCTGTCTTTCTAGGGTACCCTTTTTGGGGCTGGCAAAAACGGAAACCAAAAGGAAAGCCATCGCGCCATGTTTTGGGGGGGGGTCCAACCCCTAAAAAAGAGAAAAGGGGAGAGGCGTGGGAATGTCTTAGGAACCCGAACAGGACACCCAAATGCCATTTTGGGGCGCCTGTTGGACGATCATCGTGCCTTATGCGCGTGCCAGCCTGCCGGGAGAAAAGGCGCGCTGGAAAGTTGAGACCCGCATAAAGGGAGTTGTCCATTTGGTGAAATGAATACAGTATTTGTTATTTTCCCCTGTTGGTTTTAAAGGGAATCTATCACTACTTACTGGAAATGGTGTTTGTATTATTATTATTATCATTATTTTATATATGTTTATTGTATTTATTTTTGCAGGGGACTTAAGGAGTTGTGCCACCGACTTTCACTCTATACAGTCGAGTCATGTCCAATACTTGTTGCTAAAGGGAGATGCTCTTGACCAGCCAGCTTGGATCAGTCGCTTCCAATGTCTTGGTCTTCATGGGGGTTTCTTCGATTTCCAGGATGGAACATTGCCATGGTTCTGGGTGGGTTGTTTGGACCACGTTTCATCTCACAGGATCTTGAGGCTAGAACCACTTGACCGAATGATGAGGGTGATCATTCATTTGATTGCAGAGGTGGTGGGTGGTTTTTGACACTCTGTGCCCTGTCGTACCAATCTGTTCTTAGACCATACGCGTCCAGTTTGCCGTGTGTGCAGTGCGCCCAATATGAGACCGATATGGAGAAACCTAGCAGAAATCAATGTCGCATGTGATGATTATTTGTGAGCCATGCATGGGTTTGCGACACGAAGATTCCTTGCTTGGGGTCCGAACATTTCATGGTGAGGAATTCTGGACCATTATTTGCTTGCTGCATTAAGAAGTGCACTGGACAGGGAGCTGTTTGACTATGTGCCATCGGCTTACGGTCCTGAATTGTTGGTCCATGAGTGTTGGAAAGATGGTGACAGATTGTTTGAGGACAACAGTGTAAGTCCTAGTTTTGTAGGATTGGGCTCACATCACACGAACCAGGATTGGGCTCACCGATTGTTTTCTCTGTATCGTTTTTTTGTTTGGGGGGGAGGGGCGATTCCAGTCATGGCGATTTGTGCCTTAGAGGAAGGCAGAACTCTTGTTGGTGAAGAGCGTGTTGTGTAGACTTCAGAGGCAAGGCTGCAGCCCTGCGGCGCAAATCTTCTCGCTGTCCTGTTGGCTTTCGTTTCAAAAAAGTCTCCCGCCAGACCCCGAAAGGGATCGATCCCTTCTCCTGCCAATAGGACGAAGGGCCTTTTCTCACCTCATTCATTCTCTTGCTAGCCCCGCGGCTATGAGTTCAAGAGGGGAACCACCTCCATGGTTTGACATGAAGTCCTACCATGTCCAAAGAGTTCCCAGTTGCCCAAAGCAAATCGACCTGAAGTGACCTGTTGGTTCCCTGACTTGGTTCCTATGTTTCGTCAAGGTTTCAAACGGTACACCTTTAATTTTCAGATTCTTTGGGCAACTGGTTTCCCTGACCCTGTCCATATTTCGTTCAGGTTCCAAAAAGTTTGCCTGATTTAGTCAAGGTTCCAAAAAGGTCAACCTTTCATTTCCAGGTTTTGTCGTTGCTGTGATTTCCAGGTTTTTTTGGGGGGGCAGTGGCAAATGAGACTTTGGTGCATTTTGCTTGGATGTTAGGACTTTAACTTTTTGCCCACCAACGGGTTTCCATTTTTCACCACTAAACGTTAAAGAAAGCAACCGAGGAGTCCTTCGAACGACGCAGCCAGAAGGATTTGAACCACTGAGGCCTGCCGCTGGTTTTTGGTGTTGCCGTGATTTCCAGTTCTCTTTTTTGGGGCAGCTGCGGCAACAGAGACTCAGTATTGACATTCGTCATTTGGCTGTGGGTCAAAACCAATGTTTTTTAGGTGCACCACCCATTTTAGAACCCATTTTAGTGGTGATTGGTTGATGTTCACTGGGGGCTAACCGATTTGGATTTTGAAAAGCCCATGGCAAGCCTTCGCCAGGACCTCCGCCAGAGCTTGGGCTGGGACGTCCTGCCGGTGGTGCGGAACCGCCAGCGCGCGCTCTTCTTCGGAGAGCCCCTCGTCCGGTTTGAAGCGGGGTGCCCGGATTGAAGCGGTTTGAGACTCAAGTCCCTCCCTGCTCGGGGTACCTTCCATTTCCCCGATTTTTTTGAGTGTATCCTTTTTTCAAGGTACCTTTTTAGGGTTGGTTTAAAGGGAAACCGCCAAGTTTGGTGGGGGTACCTTCCATGTCCATTCTGAACCCAGGGATCCGAATCTTTCTAGAAAATCTCCGGAAAAAATCAGAGAAAATAGCAGGCTTTTGAAAAGAACGATGGTTGGAAAGAATGGGGGATCAACCCCTAGATCACTTCCTGAGCTCATGGATTTGGGTTTGGACAGTTTTAGTGGCACTCACAGAATTGTTTGAGTACTTTTGCGGGCCAATCCACTCAGGAAGGGAGGTTCTTACCCAAAATTACAGTAGCCCCCCTTTTCGATGCTTTGCTTGTTTGGGGTCCCCTTCTAACCAGTCAAAAATGTAGTTGTTTGCTGGGGTCCTAACTCCAGCCAAGGACGGTTGTGGGATCACTGATACAGGCAATCTTCCCCTTGTTCGAAGGGACCCCCTCAAATTACTCGGGTTGAAGATCTCCTTTTGTCAGCGAACCCCAACCTCCATTCCCAGCTAGCCGTTGTCCTTTGGCTTTTGTTCCCTTATTTCCCCTTTGCATCAAATGATTCCCACTTGCCGAGGGTCGACTCCGCTTGAAGCCCCAAACTGAGGCAACGCGAAAAGACATTTTCACAAGACCTGCAGCAAGGGGGGCATTGGTGTTCCAGACATACTAGCTCTGTTTGCTTAAGAACATCTTGTATTTTGAATTTTCCGTGACGCGTTTCCCCGCACTGTGTGGCATTCCCCTATTTTCGCCTATATTCCCCTACGTTCGCATATGTTTCGTTTTCGCGGCATATTCCCGTACCCAGACCCACCCCAAAACCTGTCTGGGGTGTCCAACCGAGGGTCTTGGTCTTCCATTAAAGCGTCTCGGAAAAAATCATGTATATGTCCGCTTCTACCTTCCCCTAGTCCACGCTCTTCCCCTATCATGTTCCCCTATACTCCCCAAGATGTCGTTGAAGGGATGTTCGAATAAGCGCTCCTTGCAATCCCGGGAAGTGCAAACACGGGATCTGACCAGTCGAGGGAGCCTCGCGGAACAAATTGAGGCTTAGAAATATTCTCTCAAAATTAAGGTCTTGAAGCAAGCATTCGGGCCTTTTCAAACGAGGTCTTTTCAGTGAAATGTTTTAATTCTTCAAGGCTGCACAAAATCCACAAAAAACAGGTTGAGAGTATGACCAGAACTAGGGAATTTTATGGATTTGGGTTCATCAGCAGGATCCATTGATGTGGGCATGCTGAGGCCTCTTTCTTGTGCTTGAGAAAAGTTGTGAAACATGGTTGGGAGAAAGTTGGGAACATGTTGGCACAAAGCACGGAAACCAGTTGAGAAACAGTTGGGAAAAGGTTTGGAAAGAGTTGGGAAAAGATCGGGAAAAAGTTGATAAACAGTTGGGAAACGGTTGGGAACAAGTTGGGAACTAGTTGCTGGAAACGTCACAGGTCGCCCGTGCACGGCTTGCAATTTTGCAGAGAAAGCTATTTGGCAGAGTCACTGAGTATTGCGAAGAGTGGAGGGGGGGCTGTTGGGGGGGGGGAGGGAGTAGCGCCGTCACATACCTGGGGTGTGCGACCCCATCCACGATGAAAGTTCCTTTCTTATGGAACCATTTCTCATTTCAGGTTGGTGGCTGATAGTTCAAGCCAATTTAACATTCAGGTTCGTGAATGATATTTCAACCCGAGTCTTCACCTCCAGAAGAAAAGGACGTTCGGGCCCTTCTCAGAAGGTTCCGTCCGAACTTTTCCTGGGTTTCTGGCGGGGCCTTTCCCAATCTCAGTGCCTTGTTTGGCTGTTTTTGTTCGGTTTTTCTCGGGAGGTTTGGGTTCAGGAGAGACAGGGTGCTGGCTGCCCCCCGAATTGTTCTGAGAACCCGTCTGACAAGCCTTTCATCTAGGAAGCTTCCTGACCATTTCCTGAGCCAGCATCCCTGAGACACGGATCGGATTGAGTGTTTCCCAACAATTTGGAGCCCCTCTTTGGGTTGAAGCCAACGAGCCCCAACCATGTACACCGTTTGCTAGCCATTGTTCAAATTGAAAGCCTCGATTGGTAATGGGTGGCCGACCGCCAGCAACCAAGAATGAAGGCCTTCGCATAATAGAAACACAGTCTGAGACACAGCCTAGGTCTCCTTTTGACAGCTTTGGGCCGTCCCTCTACGACGCCCTAAGACCTGGGCAGGCCGCGGCTTTTCGGGCGGCTCAGATGTCAGGAAGCAGCAGGTGTCGACATAAGATGTCAACTGAGTTGTAATAGCTCAGTTAGAGGGTGACTGTTTGGCGGGGTCCCTGTCTCAGGGTCAACATCAGGCTTGCAATCGAAGCAATTATGTCACGTCCTTTAAAGGGCCAGACTTGTTGGAACATGGGTGCGTTGCCCACCTTGGGCCAACGCACTTGGCCGGAAGAACAGTTGGCCTTGGGTGGTTGGACGTCGCGGCAGGCGCCCGAGGTTGGCAAGGCTCGTCCAGCAATATTTGTCTTCAGCGCGGTACAGCGTGAGAGATGCGGCCTTTAGGTCTTTAGGTTCCCGAGGAACCTGGGATGCATAGCCACCCGCTCCGACTTGTGCCTGGCTGCTGTCCTTTGGTGTTTGGTTTGTTTGGTATAGTTGGGGCCGCGGGCAAGGGAAGGACAGAAAGAACGGACTTTGACGATGCAACCATGGGATTGGTAGTCATGTAGTTCAGCAGCGTTCTGTGAGAAAGTCAGAAAGTGGAC